AAAAAATAATGATTTTGGGCTGGGGGCATGGCTCAAGTCGTAGAGCACTTGCCTAGCAAGCATGAGGATATGAGTTCAATCCCCAGTACTGGCAAGAAAAGAAGAAGAAGAAAAAAGGACTGTGTAAAAAATAATGAATGTAAGGTGCTTATTACCTAGGAGATAATATCTGTTTATACTTACTAAGCATATGCCAGATACTGTTCTAAATACATGTGAATTGACTAATATAATCTCCACGTATAGGGTAGGCGCTATTACTCTCATTTTCACAGTCAAGGTGAATGAGATAGTGTAGTTAAATAACTTACTCAAGATCACACAGAAGAAATAGTTTTCAAACCCAGCCTGGCTCCAGCGTCCTGACCTTAACAATATGCTGTATTTCCACTCAAAAAGCCCACAAAATGTTGCTGTGATTTTTTTTTTTTTTTGGTGTGACTGGGGTTTGAACTCAGGGCTTCACACTTGCAAAGCTCTACCACTTGAGCCACTCCTCCAGTCCAAAATGTTAGTTTTTATAACACTAACTACTATTATTTGGGATGGTGACTAGCCTTGACTGACAGCAGCAGCACGATCTATTAAGCAGAACTGGAAAGATGAAAAGAAAGATGTACCCAGTGAGGCGGTTTCGGATGATTTTGACGCTCATCACGGTTTCCCCCATGGTGGCAAAGGCTCTGGAGATGAAGTTCTCATCCATGTAGGGTTCCAGCTGTGTAGAACCGAGAGGGAGCGGCTCAGGCCGGCGTCCAGACCCCGATTTGGGGCGCCAAGCCCCTCCCCCTAGGGGCAGGGTAGCCACAAGTTGTAGCGGGGACAAGGGGCAGGCTATCCTCCAGAGCGGTGTGAACTCCCGTCTTTCACCTCAAACCTGTTCCCCTTTAGGTCCTAGAACTACACAACGCTCCTCAATCCTGGGGTTCCCTTCATTCCGTCTCTCCAAAGAACCTTCTTTCTCTTCCATGCACCCAAGTGAGGCCCCAGGATCCCTAACCCGCAGACTCAACCCCTTCACTCTAATGCTGGGACGCGCTTTTCTGTGCCACCAAAAAGAATCCTCGCTTTCACTGCCACTCTTTTGGGATCCGAAATCCCCTCCCCCTCAGACCCTTTCTCCCTCGAGACACGGAGATTCCTCCTCCTCCTCCTCCTCCTCCTCCTCCGAGCCGGGGCGACCACCCTCACTCACGTCTCCCATCCACAGGCTGGCCGCCATCCCGCACCCGGGCAGGGACCTTGTGGGCCTCCGGGGCGCGCGCGGGCGCCAATCCGCGCTGCGAGATGGCCCCAGAGCCCGAGCCTGCGGCGCCTTCTGCGCACGCTCGAAACCTCGGCAGCCGGTCCGTCCGACGCTCCGCTCCGGGTTTTCCGGGCGGTCTGGGCGGAGCTTCCGGCGCGCAGCGGGCGGAGCGTTGATTGGGGTCCTCGGGAGGGGGCGCGCGCCGGTGCTGCTCTGGTGTATTTCCTACTTTGTGTATTTCACAAAACCACACGGGACCACTTTTACACATACGTATATAATTAGAAAAGTAACATATGCTCGTCGTAAGAAGTTGAAAATATAACCCCATAAAAAGAGGAAGCCTGGAGGTCCCGGTTCCACCAGCTGTGGCTCTGGAGAGGCCACTGAGCCGCTCAGCTGTCCCCTCCCCTGCACTACATGTTTCCCAGTTGACAGAACGTGAGATCTTTGAAGCTGGAATAGGATTCTCTCGTCATTCCCAATGGCCCTGCGGTGGAGGGAGAGGAGGGCCAGAGGGACTGTAAACCCGGATCCAATCAGCCCCAAATCTGTTCCCTTAGTCCCAGAGGCTCGAACCCGTCCCACAACGATGACCTGCCCACGAAGCCTCCAGTTAACAAGGGTTTGGACGGCTGGTTTAAATCTGAGGGCCCCTAGGCCCCAGCATAACGTTGGTATCCAAACTTCTGTTCCTGGAACCAGGCATCTGCCGGCGAAGCTCACCACGTACTTGAGGGGCATCAAGGTCCTTCCAGACCAGTCCGCCTATTCCGAGCTTAGGATGGGTCCCGAGGCTAGGAACTCATCAGTGAGAAATCCGGAGGCTCAACCACAGTTCCCACATTTCCAGTTTACCCTGTCACTTTGGTGGTCAGAGGCTGTGGCTACAGATTCAAACCATGGGAGCCTTGGTCCCAGCCCCACCTCTAATTATTTTGGCAAGTTATCCTAACTCCAGAGCCTAATGTGCTGAATAGCAGTGCTACCTCCTAGCATGAGTGGAAAAAATGAGACACTGGGAAGCACTGGGACCAATGCCTGGCATCCAGAAAATTCCCCAACATGCAGTTGGTGGCCTTCAAATTATAACTGGTAGCTATTTATTTTGCACCACTTGCCAGTCACTGTGCTGTGCTCTTTGCTTAGTATTTTTAAAATTTAATTTTAGATGTGGAGATTTTAGATACCTTTTACAAAATTAATTCATGAGACAGGACTCTGTCCTTTTGTTTTTTTGGGTGGGACCAGGTCTTGAACTCATGGCTTCACACTTGTAAAGCATGCGCTCTACCACACCTCCAGTACATTTTGCTCTGGCTATTTTTTGGAGATGGGGATCTGGTGATCTGGCCTCGAACAGTGATCCTCCTGATCTCAGCCTCCAAAGTAGCTAGGATTATGAGTATGAGCCACCAGCACTTGGCTCCATTCTGTTTTCTAATCAAATTACAATGTCTGGACATTGGAAATATCTGAATTTTATGACTTAAGACTTCAGTCCTTTGCCCCATCTACCCCTGCTGCCTTCCACTCCCTTTATTTAAGTGACTGTTTTGTCCTAGTCCATGTGCACACTTCTGTAGTGTGCACACTTTAAGATGGCACACAGTACCATCTTCATTTGTAGCATATGTATAGGTCCTTATACATTTTTCTCCATTTTCTAATTATAATTTTTGTTAAAGTATATTCAACATTTACATAGACTTTGTAAACATTTCTGAGTCATTTGTTATACTATGATTACATCTGTTCTGAGGTAACCAAGGCAGATTGGAGGAGGTTGGAGGAAAAGGTAAAACTGAAAGTACTTAATGTGTTTGAATGTACAAAGGGAGATTTACCCTTCTGATATACTGACATTCAACAACAGCACTTACACAAAACTAAGCACATGAAAATCAAGGTAGGGCTAGGATTTTAGCCTAGTAGTAGAGCACTTGCATATCATGTGCAAGACCCTGAGTTTCTTCCCCAGCACCAAAGAAAAACAAAAACAAGGTAAATATTACCTACAGAGAATAAAAATGGTACAATCTTGCTGTATAAGCCAGGATGGCATGGAACTCACAATCCTCCTACCTCAGGTTCTGGGATTACAGGTATGTATCACCTTGACCTGGCACTGTGACAAAGCACCTCGTAAGAGCTTTACAACTCTTAGATTAAATGAAGCAAAGAAACAGGTTCCTCCAGGGCCCAGGATAAGGCTGGCTGCAGGCTAGCTTATACTGGGCACCTGGTGCCTGGACCTCAAGCAAGTCACTCCAACTCTTTTAGAGGGATGGCAGTTACTTTCCTGAAGGGCTGGAAGGATGAAGCAAGCTTGCAGGTTAAGAGCCTGGCCCATGTTAAGTTCCAATGCTTCAGAACTGTTAAAACAAATGGGATAAGTCTGGGCTGGAGGCGTGGCTCGGTGGGAGAGCAAAGAGCAGGTGGCTAGCATTCATGAGAAAACAGGGTAATTCTCACCTCCAAAATCCCAAAGGGCAAAGCCTGGTAAATACAACCCAAGTGGACTTTTTCTTGTGTGTGGAGGGTAACATACGTAATTTCCACAAGGAAAACATGAAAACAGAACTTGAATCAAAATTAAATTTCAGGGATGGGAAACATAGCTCAGATGGTAGAGTACCCAGGTGTGAGGCCCTAAGTTCAAACACCAGAACCACCAAAACAAACAAGCAACTAAAATTTCAAGCCAGGAAGGGTGATGCACACCTGTAATCCCAGCACCTGAGGTAGGCTGAGGTATGAGTTCCATGCCAGCCTGGCTTACACAGCAAGATCTTACCTCAATCAAAATCCTAAAATTTCAAGGGGAAAAAAAAAAAAAATCAGACATAAATTTTTCTTTTTTTATATCATACTCATTTTCTCCAAGAATAAGTGACATCCAAGAGTCCTTCTAGGGTTAATAAAACTTTGTCACACAGACCTTTACTTTTGAGAGTCTCAGTACACACCCCTCTGGTTAGACATTCAAAATCCTCGTGCCTCAGCCTGGGATTACAGGCACGCACCAATACACCCGGCCTACACATTTTTTTTTTTTGAGGTACTGGGGCTTGAACTCAGAGCCTCACACCACCAGCCCTTTTTTTATCATGTTTTATTTCGAGATAGGATCTCTCAAACTATTTGCCCAGGCTGGCTTTGAATGGTGATCCTCCGACCTGTCTCCTGTGTAGCTAGGATTACAGGTGTGAGCCACAGGCACCTGGCTTACATACTCTTTACATAAGCAGCTGTAACTTTCCGCATGGACAGATAGGCATGAGTCACATGTAATTATCAAGTACTTGAAATGTAGTTTGTACAACAGAAAGTTTAAATTAAAAAAAAACTTAAGGCTGGTGGAGTTGCTAAAGTGGTAGAGCACCTGTTAGCAAGGGTGAGGCCCTGGATTCAAATCCCAATGCCACCAAAAAACCCCCAGAAACTTAAGTTGATTTAAATGTAAAAAGCCACATGTAGTTGAGCATTATATTGGGCAGGTTAGCACTGTGATTTGGTTGCTCAAATGAAAACCTACATTAATACATAAACTGTCATAAGGTATAGTTAATGTTTATTTATTTATTGGAGCTGGGGGATGAAACCTAGAGCTTCATGCATGCCAGGCAAGCATTCTACCACTGAGCCCCAGCCCCAGCCCTGTAATTAATGCTTAAATAAATTTATCAGCTTTGAAAACAGTAAGGCAGCTTGATAAGCATTTCTAGAGATATAATGTACTTACAAACCTTGATCTGGGATTAAGAAATTAAAAGATCCATCCCATTTTTCTTGTATTATGCAGCATGATTAAAAAAAAGAAAAAATCCAGTGATTCCCAAATAATGAACACCCAAGCACCTTTTTCTCCTTCTTGATGGATCTGAAGTCCTTAGAGCAGCCAATGGCATCTGGTTGGCTGGCAGGTACACAGAGCAGTGGGATATCTTGATATCCTTCACACTGTATCTGTGACACCAGGCTCACAGGCATGTGTTTATTCTTCCCTTTGCAACAGAACCCGCATCTGGCATGTGCTCCCTCAAGAAAACAGGGAGGGTGTAGAAAACAAGTGGCCTGTTTTACAAAACTCTAATTTATTCAAAGTTTTAAAAGATTTCACTCTCCCCTCCAAAATATCTTACAATTTAAAAAAAATCAAAACTATTTTCTCAGCCACTGTACAAGCCGCTGCTTCCTTTTCTTAGGACCAGCCTCTGTCCCTCCCTCAGTATTGCTGTATATTTATAAAATCCTCCCTCCTCTCTCCCCTACAACCCTGTCCACATAGCTTTCTGGTTCTTGGCTGTGGGCAAGCAAGCCTGAATGGTTGAGGGAAAACATGGCAGGTCTGAGGAACAAGATCTGCTTTGTGCTTCTGGGATAACAGCGAGATGGTTTGTCTCCTTCAACTGGATCACTTTCTTTTGCTCCATGGACACCTGCTTAGAGCCAAATATTTGGCTTGGGGTCACCCACGGCCCTATAGCCCTGCCTTTCTCCAGATTCCCCCAGCTGAGTCAGCCGTGACAGCTGAGTCTGGTGACCGCACCATCTGCTGTAGAAGGGCTGTATGTGGCCTGAGTAGGGCTTGACGGAACTCCAACTTCTCAGAGTGTGACCACCAAATCCCCAGGGGAGGAAGTTCTGGTTTTTCGGTAGGCAAAGCCAAGACCAGCCAGGACCATGGTAGGTAGGGAAGTGTGAGCAAAGGTCTGACCACGTAGGTCTGGAGGGAGCAGCGTTCCTTCCAACGACCCTCCCCCTCCCTCTTCATCCTGCAGGTCCCAGGATGACTCCAGAAAGGAGGAAGAAAATGAGGACAAGGATTCTGCTGTGTTGATGGGAAAAAGGCAGGAGGTGACAGTGTGCTCAGGGCTGGGGAGAGGCCTTCAGGAATCTGCAGTTGTCTTTGCTTCCCTATTCTGTGAGGGAGGGTGGGGGGGGCCAGAAGCCAGGCCCTCAGAAGCTTCATCAACTCTGTTCCTTGTCTTTGACTAATAAGACTGTGTGCTGGCCCCCGCTGGACACAGATAACACCACACGGTTCTCCAGTTGCTTGCCAGTCATCTCCACGGGGCTCCAGGCGTCCTCGTCCTGTCCTGTGCCCAGCTGGTAATTGGTGCCCATGCCCCAGGCAAAAACACGACCTGCAAGGGAGAGAAACAGGCACCTACCTTGAGGATCCCTAGGCCCACCTGTGAGAAGTCTGGCACATGGCGGGGGGTGAAGGGGAGTCTGGTTTTGGGCAACAGCAGCCTGACAACGTCCCAGCCCCTGGGAGCTCAGGGAAATTGGAAGAAGCCAAGGAAATGACGTCCTTACACAGTGCCAAAGACTTCTCCCTGCTCCTAGGTGTGGCAACTAAGGCCCTATTACTAGTCACTCCCTAGGCCCTCCACCAGCAGCTGGTCTCAGGACCAGCCACCTGTGATACTGCTATGAATGCTCCTCTGCCTGGGAACCTTCAGTGCAATGCAAGTCCCAGGACCTCAGGGCATCTCTCGGATCAAGCACCTCGGCCAGTCTGACTTCTAAAGGACACCCACGACTGTCCTCACCACTCAGGCTTTGGTAGCCACTGGCTCACACTCTTCTTTCTGGGCTGGCCAGGACCTTGACTACTAAGCCTTCTTTTCCCTAAAACTCTAAGTACAAGGCACTGGAAAACATAAGAGGTCACCTTGGTGGAAGGAAGCCTGAGTTAGGAGTCTGCAGACCCTGAGTTCAAGTCCACTGCCTCCCTGGGCCTCAGGGATAGCTCCTTCTTTGCTGTTTATCCCCTCTGCAAAATGAATCACCTATTACAGTAACTTCTTACTTATTTATGTTCAACAGGCTAGAACTTCTAAGAGTCAGGAGCTGTGTCACTGTGAACTCTCTGCCTCTCAGCTCCACCTGATGGTAGACGTCACAGTCTGCTAGGGAGTATGCTAAGAACCAGGACCCTCCCAGGCCCCAGCCAGACGTGTGGGCAGCTCCACTCACCATCCTTGGACACGGCATACCCCACAGAGGCTCCACAGGCTACTGAGGAGACAGTGGGCAGCCTGGAGATAAGGGTGGGTGTGCTCTTCTCCTCAGCACCCTCCCCGAGGCCCAGCCGCCCATACTCTGCCCGGCCAAGGCTGTATGCTTTTCCTGTGGGAGGAGGGAGAAAGATGAGCAGCTGGGCACCAGTGGCTCACACCTGTAATCCTAGCTCCTCGGGAGGCAGAGATCAGGAGGATTGTGGTTCAAAGCCAGCCCTAGCAAATAGTTTGCGAGACTCTATCTCAAAAATAGGTGGAATGGCTCAAATGGTAGCGTGTCTGCCTAGCAAGTGTGAGGCCGAGTTCAAATCCCAGTCCTCCCCACTCCCCTGCAAAAAACAGAGAGATGAGTAATAGCAGAGATCATGCTCCAAACAAAATAAGTGGCAAGCCAGGTGCGTCCCCATGTCCTTGAGAGCTTATCTCCAGTCCCAGGGTGGTCAGGAGGAGGTCTGCAGTGTCTCTTCCTCATCTGAGGGATGAGGAGAACCTGCACAGAGATCCCCAATGCTTTGAAGTTTCAGGAATCTGGGGGACAAGGGTGGCACTCATGGATCCACATCTGGCTCAAGCCCTGGAATAGGCCCAGGTTTCAAGGCTATGATCCCAGGAGTCTGGCCAGGCACACGCCCAGGGAATATTCTGCCTCCAACATGGAGAGGGACTTGGAAGGCCTACCTTCTGAATCCATGCAGACTGTATGGTGCTGGCCACCAGAGAAGCCCACCCAGGACTTAGTGGAATTCTTGAAGGATGTCAAGTTCTGGGGTACGAAGCAAGATTCTGTGCCTGGTGTTCCTGCCATTAGGGAAGGAGGTGTTCTCAACCCCCTTCCATGACAAGACCACCCTCACCACAATACGGACATTCTTACTCTCAAGTAGCACACACTGCGGCTCTGAGGGGTTAGGTGGCTCCACAGTGGATACACACTGTTTGAGTGGTGGAGTCAGGATTGAAACCCAGGTCATTGGGTCATGCCTGACGCTGGGCTTGGGACTCACCAAGCTGATGGTAGTTGGAGAGCCCAAAGCCATACACATGGCCCTCGTGGGAGATAGCAAAAGTGAAATAGGCACCACAGAAAGCATCCTGGAACCTCACATGGCCCCGGCAACCCCTGGATTTCAAGAGCACACACTTGGGCACCAGTAGTCGCTCTGTAGGCAGAAAGGAAGCCAGGGTCAATGACAGACAGACACAGGGGGTCTTTCTTCTCTCTGACCCCGGGTCTGTTTCTCTTCCATTACAAAAGCCCTTACAGAGAGGCTAAGCAGAGATGCTTATCCCTAATTTACAGAAGAAAGTGAGCCCAAAAGAATTGCCTAGCTCAGATTCCCAGTCATGAGAGGTAACACTGACAGAACTTCCCAGACACCCTCCTCATTAACTCACTGATCCTCACAGCAACCCAATGAAGTAGCATTAGTTGGGGAGGTGACGAGAAAAGGAAACTATATCCAGTGTCCCAGAGTCAGTAGGTGGCAGAACAGGATTCAAAGCCAGGGCAGGAAGTCTCCAAAGTCTGAGTTCTCAGCTCACACTACAAGTTCATTTGAAGTATGTGTGAATGGAGAATCCCGAGCTCTTTCGCCTTCACCAGGCAATAGCTTGCCAAGTTGTCCCACTGGAGGTCCTAAAGCCACTTACCGAGGCCCTGCCGGCCACCACGGTTGGCAAATAACTCAGGCACACGACCCAGTTGGCCCTGCTCCCCGCAGCCCAAGGTATAGAGGTCACCATCAGCTGTGAGCATCACCAAGTGGTCGTTTCCTGTAGATAAGAGGAGGACAGAAGAAGAAGGGCTTTTCTGTGCAGCCTAACATTGAGCCAGCCTCAGAACAAGGTTCTCTAGCTCCAGCCTGCAGACAGTACCCCCAACTCACCTGAGGCCACCTTCACGACGGGCACGTCCAGCTGCACTTGCACAGGCACCATGCTCTTCTTCATGGGCTCCAAGAGCCCAATCACACCATTATTGTCCTGGAAGGGCAACAGGGACAAACACTTACCAGGCGGTCCTGCCCAGTCCAGCTTGCAAGAGACCACACAGCTACCTGGTGAAGGGTACTGAGTGGTAGCAGATAGGGATAAGGACATAGGCAGGAGCCTGGCCACTTACTGAAATACTTGTGAGTGAAATCACACATGGCCTGGCAATTGTGTTAAAGTAAGTGGAAGAGTAGATGTAAGTAGAGAAATAAGTCTGGCTAAAAGTTAGTAATTGTTGAAGCTGTGTAGCAAATGGATGGAGGTTCAATACATCATTCTGATTACTTTTATGTGTATTAGGAAATTTCCATAAAAATTTAAAATAATCTTGCCAGGCACCTATGATCCTAGCTACTCAGGAGGTAGAGATCAGGAGGATCATGGTTCAAAGCCAGCCAGGGCAAACAGCTGTGAGACCCTATCTCGAAAATACCTATCACAAAAAATGGCTTTAGTGGCTCAAGGTGCAGGTCCCAAGTTCAAACCTCAGTACTGCAAAAAAAAAAAAAAAAAAAAAATCTTAATGAGGACACCATTGAGCCATTCTGCCAGCCCTGTTTTGTGATGGGTTTTTTTGAGATAGGGTCTTGAGAACTATTTGCCTGGCTTGTTTGGGGTGTGTGTGTGAGACAGACTTATTGTACAGCCAGGCTCGCCTTAAACTCTCAATCCTGTCTCAGCCTCACAAGTGTGGGGATTACAGCTGTGTACCACTATGCCAGCACGATTCCTTTCTTTTTATGACACTTCAAAACAGAAGAAGAACCAAAGCACCAAAAGAATTTTAATGCTGAACTGCTTTAAACATTGATACGTGACAATCCCCACCTCCATGACTTCCACCCCGCAAGCCTCTGCAAAGTGTGGAAGGGGCTGGGAGAAAAGAGCAGCTTCCTGGATCAGCTCATCCAAAGGCATCCTTGACCCTCCCCCATTCCCAAGACATGCCCTTTCCATCAGATTTAAGGGACAGGCAGTGGTGCAGACAGGTGCAGATGAAGAAGCCAGATTTGGATCTGAGTCCCAGCTCTGCCCGTGGGCCTTCATCTTCCCACCAGGAAGCAAGCACAATGGGGGCAGGGAGGGGGACAATTTGGGGGAGCCCAGAGATTTACTTTGCCTGCCAGGTCCCATGCAGTCTTCCAGACCAGACTTACCCGGAAGGAGCCCCAGAGGAAGACGCGGCCATCCTCGGTGAGGGCTGCCGTGTGACTATCTCCTGCTGACACCTGTATCACCTTCTCTTGCAGTTCCACCTTTCCAGGGACCATCTCTGAGCCCTCCACTGATGTGTCCCTTCCCAGGGCACCCTCATCGTTGCAGCCGAAGGAGTAGACCTGTGGCCCGGACGCCTGCATTAGCGCAAGGTCTGGCCCCTCATGCTACTTCCTGCCTGGCTAGCCAGCTCCACCTCCAGTGGAATGTGCCTGGTGCAAACTCCTGCCCACTCCCCATTCCTGGCCCCCAGGCCCTGTCCAACCTGAGTCAACCCTCCAACCTACCTGGCCACTTTTGCTGAGACACACAGTGTGCATGCCCCCCGCCTCGGCCTGCACAACAGCCTCCAGAATGGGCACCAGGGCCGGCTTCTTCCTCTCCATGACGTTCTCACCCAGCCCCAGCTGGCCCACGTCGCCCTGGCCCAGTGTCAGCACCAAGCCTGGTTCTGTGTTGTGGGACCTGTGTGAGACTAAGGGGCAGAGAAGACAGCCCCTGAGTGTGCAGGATGACAGGAGAGGGGAGAGGTCACCTCACAGGCTCTGGGGTCACACAGACCTGGGTTCAAGCCCCTGCACTGCTACAGGGCACTAGGATGACCTTTCTCAGCCTCAGTTTCCTCATCTGTGGAACCCAGCTAAGAGAAGTACCTCTCCCACAGGGCAGTCTCAAGATCAAAACCTGAGCACATTATTAATGTGAGAAGGAAGAGCCACTCCACAGTGTGAGATGAAACTTAGCGGGGAGGGGATGAGGAAACGAGATCATTTTCCTGATTAGCTGACATTGGTCAGGAGCCGTGATGTCAACAGTCCCGCTCAGATGGTAATGTCTCCCCTTTATTACTGTCTGCTGTGCTACTTCTCGGTTGTTCTGCAAACCCTTCAGATTTAGGATGAACCTTCCAGAGGCCCCATAACTTTTCCAGCACTTCTCAATGAAATCCAGGGAGGCTACCTGGGCTGGAGCAGTCCCCACACTCCACCCTAACCACCCCCTCCCCAGGCTATGAATTTGTTGTGGTTTTGAGAGAAGGTCTTGCTATGTAGCCCAGTGAGTCCTTGAACTTGTGATCCTCCTGCCTCAGTCTCCTGAGTGCTGGGCTTATAGGCATCAGTCACCATACCCAGTGATCAGGCTGTGATTTTCAACTCCTGGACACATTCAGAGGACAGCTAAGTCCTTCTTCCTATTGAGCAGTGCAAGAGGAAGGGGAAGGAGTAAGGAGAGCTCATAGAAGCATTTGTGGATTAGTTTGGGTCAACCAGTGGGCAGTGTAAGGCCTCTGCTAGCCAATGGCGCCCAGCCCATCCCTCTGGGGTGTGGCCATGGCTGTCAGGGCCACTGCAGCTGCGCAGAGGGTGCACTGGACAGGGAGCCCTTGATTGGGTTTTCTGGTCAGGAGGGCTCCGCCCGCAGGCACCTTGGCAGGAGTGGGTGCTGGGATGGCAGCGGGTGGCAGTGGCCCTCACTGCCTGGTTACGACAGTCTGCAAAAGACAGACACTGTCTGAATGTGTGTCCACCTCCCCCCTCCTGGACTATGGTGGGGGGGGCTTTCTCTTGTCCCTACTCCACTCTGGGGTCATAAAAGAGAGGAAACCCATAGATGCCTGCCTCAACTGATACCAGAGAGAGGCTGGTGCTGTGTTCACATCATTTTTATGAAGTAGGCAATCCATGTTCAGCCAGGGAAAGTGACTGCCCATGGTCACATAGCTAGAAAGTGGCAGAGTCCCCTGCAATGCATTGTCACAAGCCAGTACTATGACCCTTCTCAGACTCAGTTTCCTCATCTGTGGAACCCAGATAACAAAAACTACTTATCCCACTGCCTGAGTGCTTTTAGCCAAGTCTGTCCCTTTTGTGATTCCCAAAGGGTGGGATTCAACAAGCTATCAGAGACCTCCCAGCTGGGGAAATCACCAGACATCCACATCCAGTCCCAGCTTCTCAAGGATCCAAGAGGCCACCTACTGCCAGAAAGAGGCAAAGACAACTTACCCTTCACCTTCTTGCTTTTGGGGATGGCATCTTCTGAGGGTGATCTTCTCTTGGCTATGCGTTTGGGTGGCATCTTCCTGTCCTGAAACCCCAGCCAAATATTACAGGTCAGAAACGGCAAACATTGTCCTGTGCCAATTAGGCAATATTTATCAAAAATCTTACAAAGGCAGGAGTTAGCGATTAGGAGGATGGCGGTTCAAAGCCAGCCCCAGGCAAATAGTTCACGAGAGCCAGCACTGGTGGCTCTTGCCCAATCTTAGCTATTCAACAGGCAGAGATCAGGAGGATCCCGGTTCAAAGCCAGACCGGGCAAATAGTTCAAGAGACCTTATCTCGAAAAAAACCCATCACTGGTGCTGCACTGGGTGCTGGTGGCGCATACCTGTAATCCTAGCTACCAAGGAGGCAGATCTCTGTTTGAAGCCAACCTGGGCAAATAAGTTCTCAAGACCCTCTCTTGAAAATTCCTAACACAAAAAGGGCTGGTGGAGTGGCTCAAGGTATAGGCCTTCAGTTCAAGCCCGCAAAAAAAAAAAAAAGAAAAAAAAGAAAAAGTGTTCATGAGCCCCTACCTTGAAAATACCCAACAGAATAAAGGGCTGCTGGAGTGGCTCAAGTGGTAGAGTGCCTGTCTAGCAAGCATGAGAACCTGAATTCAAACCCCAGTACTAGAGGAAAAAAAAAAAAAACAAACAAACCATGAAAAGTCAAGAAGGAACTGCTCAGTAATTCCACCTCTCAAAATTTACTCTAAGAACTGAATATGAATGGATAAAGACTAAATTCCAAATATTCCCAATCATTAATAACAAAAGGTCAAACTTGGTGGCTCACCCCTATAATCCCAGCTACTTGGGAAGCACAGATCTGGAAGATCAAGATTTGAGGGTTAAGTCGGGCGCTGGTGGCTCACACCTGTACTCCTAGATACTCAGGAGGCAGAGATCAGGAAGACCAAGGTTCCAAGCCAGCCATAGTTTAAGAGGCCCTATCTGGAACATACCCACCACAAAACAAGGCTAGCAGAGTGGCTCAAGCGGTAGAGTGCCTGCTTAACAAGCATAAGGCCCTGAGTTCAAACCCCAGAACCACCAAAAAAATAAAGTACACAGGAGAATGCATAAGTTATTCGCAAATACAAGCGTATCATTCTATACAGTGCTTAAATACCCAAGGATTTTGGTATCCACAGGCTGTGTATGTCCTGAGTCCCCAAAGATTCCTGGGGAAACTCATAAATAATATTAACAACCACCTTTCCCCGACACTCATAATTTTGGTGACATGTTATCACTATCATCAGCCAAAAACAGTGCCAGGCAGGGTGGAGGCATGCACCTTATAATCCCAGCCTTTGGAAAGCTGAGGCAGGTCAGGAAGACCACAAGCAGCCAGGGGAAGTTAGCAAGACTCTGTCTCAAGATTTAAGAAGGGGCTGGAAAGGCAGCTCAGTGGTAGAGCGCTTGTTTGTAGCAAGTGGGACTGTGCATTCAATTCCCAGTAGCACACAAAGTTATTTTCAATAAAATCAAACCACACCACCTGTGCCTTTTGGTCCACAAGGGATTTTGGGACCACTTGAGCCACGCCTTTAGCCTTTGTTTTACATTTTGTTTTTGTGGCTGACCTAGAACTCTAGATCGTCCTGGCTCTGTCTCCCTACAGCTGGGATGAAGTGCCAATCTTGGGAGGAGCCTGGTTTTCCTAAACAGTCCAGTAAGAGACAAAAACTATATATAGATCCTCTCATTAACTCACAAGTAGCCTGTGTTACATGTGGGACAAGGAAATCACCTAAGGGTGACAGGGCAGGTTGGACCTAAGAAGATCCAGGATAGCTGACTGCTTCACCCTATCCCCTCTGTTCCCCCCCTCCCCCCCCCCCGGCCTCCATGACTTCTCCATGCAGCTGCAGATTCCAATCCAGCCCAGACTGTGTCTAAAGCTCTTCTTCTTCCACATGTGCAGCTGTGGAAATAAATCTTTTTCTTTTCTTTTTCTTTCTTGCAGTGTTAAGAGTTTGAACTCTGGGCCTATGCCTTGAGTTGCCCCACCAGCCCTTTTTTGTGAAGGGTTTTTTCAAGACAGGGTCTCGAGAACTATTTGTCCTGGCTGGCTTTGAACCTCGATCCTCCTGATCTCTGCCTCCTGAGTAGCTAGGATTACAGGGATGAATCACCAGGCACCCAGTTTGGAAATAAATCTTTACTGAGCTCCAGTCTTTAAATGAAAGACAAGCTGAAGGAGTAAGGTTTGAAGCCAGCCCTGGGCAAATAGTTCTCAGGATCCTATCTCCAAAAAAAAAAAGCAACCCATTACAAGAGAGGGCTGATAGCCCTATCTTGAAAATACCCAACATAAAACAGGCTCAAGTTTTTGGTCGAATGGCTCAAGTGGTAGAGTGCCTGCCTAGCAAGCTCAAGGCCTGAGTTCAAATCCTAGTACTGCCCAAAAAACAAACAAATAAACAAAAAAAACTGCAAGATCCCTTCCCAGTCTCGCTGGGGACCTGCCCAGCCTCTCCACTTCTTCCCTCCAGTAGGTTCTAAAGCCCCAGCCTTTCCAGCTGTCTGCTTCAGGTGCTGCAGACACGTGGTCAGGTACTTTGTGCTGATTATTCTAGAGAAGGTGACAGGAAGTAACCAGTGGCCTAGTATCTTGCTAAGCCTGGACAGGTTGTGCCAGGCCCAGTTCTGACTTTGATGAGGTGGCAGTTCTAAACGCCACCCAGTTTTTATTCTCCCAGCTTGCCTCTTTTTTTTTTTTTTTCTGGCAGTACTGAGGTTTGAACTCAGAGCCTCATGCTTGCCAGCCAGTATCTCTCCATCTCGAATGCCTTTTGGATCCGTTATCCCATTGGAAGAACTTCTCCAGTCTCAAACTCACCTTCTCTGATTCCTGTCCCCAACCTGATCACTCTCTCCAAAGAAACTGGGATACACTTTGTGTAAGTATTTATTTGCAGCACTGGGGTTTGAACTCAGGGCCTCATGCTTGTTAAGCAGCACTCTCACTGCTTGAGCCACTCTGCCAGCTGGCATACACTTTGGATCATAATTACTCTACTTTACATGCCTGTCCATCATTCCAATCTACACCCCATATGAGTCTCACTGGGGATCTCAGCTGCTCACTTTATCTTCCTCCCTATGCATAAACCTTTACTTCTCAAAACAATAGCTGAAGACAGCACTAACATTCACTCCTATCTCAGAGTTGAAAGAACTGAAGCTCAGAGAGGAAAATTTAACTTGCTTAAATTCAAAAAGCAAATAAAAGAGAGCCAGAAAAAGAATCTAGGTATATCTAATTGTTAAGTCAGGTGTCAGTCAGGCTCACTCCTATAATCCTATCTACTTGGGAAGCTGGGAACTGGACGATCATGGTTGAAAGTCCCCCACCTGTAAAATAACCAGAACACAAAGTGGACTGGAAGTGTGGCTCAAGAGGTACAGTGTCTGCTTTGCAAGAGTCAAACCCTGAGTTCAAACCCCCCTGGTTCCACCAAAAAAAAAAAAAAAAAAAAAAAAGAAAGAAAAAGAAAAAAAAGTGCAGGACTGGAGGTAAAACTCAAAGGTAAACTGCTTGCCTAGCAAGTGCCAGGCCCTGCGTTCAATTCCCAGCACCCCAAAAATTAAAAGTAAGTTGTATATGGTGGCAAATGCCTGTAAACCCAGCACTCCAGAGGCTGAAGAAGAAAATGGCAAATTCAAAACGAGTCTGGGGTACATGATGAGATCCTAAAATAAATAAATAAATAGATAGATAGATAGATAAATAAATAAATAAATAAAATAAAAGACATCAGGCACTGGTTGCTCACGCCTCTAATCCTAGCTACCCAAGAGGCAGAAATCAGGAGGATTCTGGTTTGAAGCCAAACCAAATAGTTTGCGAGACCCTGTCTCAGAAAAACCCATCACAGAAAAGAGCTGGTGGAGTGGCTCAAGTGGTAAAGCAACTGCCTAGCAAGCATGAAGCCCTGAGTTCAAACCCCAGAGCTGCCGAAAACAAAAAACAAACAAAACAAAGAAACATGACTGGAGGTGTGGCTCAAGATTCCAGCTACTCAGGAGGTGGAGGAGGTTTAGAGAACTGGGGTTCAAGGCCACCTTGGGCAAAAATTAACAAGATACCATCTCAGCCAATAAGCTGGGTGTGGTGGTTCACACCTGTCATCCTAGGTACATGTGATAAATAGGAAGATTATGGTCCAGGCCTGCCTGGGCAAACACACCCTATCTGGAAAAGTAGAAGAGGGACCAGGTGTCAGCGGCTCACACCTAGCCACTTTGGAAGGCTGAGAGTGGGGGGGCATCCATTGTGGCTTGAGACTAGCCTGGGCTAGGTGTGACTCAAGTGGTAGAGCACTTGCTACGCAACCACAAAGCCCTGAGCTCAAACCCCAGTCCCACCGAAAGAAAAGAAAAGGAAAAGGTGTGGGGCCTATCTAGCAAGAGTGAGGCCCTGAGTTCAAACCTCAGTGTCACCTCTGAAAAAAAGAAGGTCAGCTAAAGGTAGACCATGATCCAAGCAGTCTGAGCAGGATCCCCAATGACCCTGGCCAAACAGAAGGAGTGGAGCACAGAAGCAAACTGAAGGAGAGGAGGCAGAAAGGAAACACAGCCAGTTGGGACCCATGAGTGGGCCAGTGACAGGTGCAGACAATGGCACAGCTCCCTACTGTGCTGAGCACTGCCTTGAGACCTGACAGATCAGAGTTGTCTTTGAGCTCCATTCTTTATCTGTAAGACGGACACTCTAAGAGGACCATTGTGTACAACCCCAGAGGCAGGGCAGGGGGATAACATGGCACCTTCTTACCAGTTCCCCACCAGTATCTCCTCAAGCATAAAACTGAGTCTTTTCTGCAGATCAGACAACTCTGATCTGTCAGGTCTCAAGGAAGTGCTCAGCACAGTAGGGAGCTGTGCCATTGCCTGCTCTCTGTGTTCTGTTTCATTTATTTGGTTCTGGGGATCTGCCCATGCATGCACTCTACCACTGAACCATACCCCCAACTCCTGCATCTATTTTTTTAAGTAGTGTCTAGATTGAGAATAAGAACTTGACTTTTAGCTGGGCGCTAGTGGCTCACACCTGTAATCTTAGCTACTCAGGAGGCAGAAATCAGAAGGATCAAAGCCAGCCTCAGGCAAACAGTTCTTCCCAGGACCCTATCTCAAGAAAACCCATTAGGGTGATGGAGTGGCTCAAGTGGTAGAGCACCTGCCCAGCAGGTATGAGGCCCTGAGTTCAAACCACCCTTCACCCCTAGCATCTAGCTTTCAAGAGTTTATGATCTGGGTGAAGAGTGAGATACAATCACAAATAAAAGTCAGATAGGAGTCCACTTCCAGGCAGCCCTGGTATCAACCTGACCTGGAGAGCTCACACCTGCCCTGTGGGAAGTGTAACCACCCTGTTGATAGATAAGGGAGATGAGGCTCAGGGAAGGGGAAGGTGCTGCAGGCCATGCAGAGGTGGAATGAGATCCCAGGTCTCCAGGCCACTCTCCACAAAAGCAGGAGCTGTCCCCAACCTGTTGAATGAAAAGGGTAGGCAAACCAGACTATACAGTCTACCAGGAGCCTGGTGTTTCTGCCACGACCCCGTGACCTCCCCATAGCCTCCTTTCCAGAAAAAGGACAGGGAGCACTCTCGAGACCAGAGCAGCTGTCCCTTCCGTCCTCCCCACTAGGAGGCAGAACTTGCCTGCCAGACTCAGGGGCTGAAGAATGTCTTTGTGTGAAAGGTTCGAAGGAGGGAAGAGAGGATGGGGCTCTCCTGTCAACATTTGCTGAACAGCTGCTATGTTGTGCCAGCCATGCCAGGCACAGAACCGGCACACTTCACAGCAAGAGTTCCTTACTAGGGTCCCAAGTACAGAGGGCTGTGCCTGGGCCTCTGTGTTCATTTTTCCCTGGAGAAAGAGGCTACAGCTTCCACCAAATGTTAAAGCCACTGCTGTATGGAAATGATAGGATATTGGTAATCTCACCAAATGCCTCTTACTTTCATTTCACTGACAAGGAAACCAAGGCTCCCAGAGGTTGGGTGTGTGGCCCAAGAGCACTGGAGGAGGGACATGGTGAGCTAATTCAACTTTCCAAGCTCCACTGATGCCCTTCTTGGAGGAAGCCTTGCCTGCCTCCTCCACCCCCATCCACTGATCCTTGGTCCTGCATCCAACTCTCCACATCCAGCTCCTGCTGCATCATCAGTTCCCTTCCTCCAGACTCTGGTCTCCTGTGGGATCTCTAACCACAACATTCACCTATACCTTCCTGTCTTTGCACATGCTGTGCCCCCTTGCCTGGATCACCCTGACCCTGTTACAACCCCATAGCCATTCTGCCTCTGCACTTCCATGGAAACCAGATCTTCAAAAGTCACCTCACCTGGAAAGCTATCCCTGACCTTCTGGGGCAGGATTAGGGAGCGTCCCCCTTGGGGTTCCTGTAACACTCCATACACTCAACTTCGTATGGTAAGGCACACAAGTCACACGTGGTCGGAAATGTTCTTTAGTCTGATGAATGAGTAACTTGCCAGCAGCAGCGCCCAGACTCCAAGAGCATGCTTTAGTAATCGCACTGAACCAGAGCTGTGACCCCACAAGTCTCCCCAAGAAGACTAGACAAGGGCCACACGAAGCCCACCCTTGTCACCATCTTTCCCCAGCAGTTCAGGAGCCTCACGGGACGGCCAGCAAACAATTTATTGACACACTGAGTGGACACGGAGTTGAGGGCACACCTCTCCGTCCGGGAGAAGTCAACAACCAACTGGGTGCCTGTTGTCGCTGAGGTTTCTGTAGCTGCGGCGGACCCTCGCCACCCACCCTCGATCTCCAAAAGCAGACCTCTCGCGGGCAGAGACCAGCCCCCCGTCCCCCCTCCCCGCTCTGCAAACTGCTTTCTCCAAACGAAGGCGGGACAAGATCCCTTCCCGCGTCGGAGACGCAGCGGATTCCAGGCGGCCACCTGAGTCGGCGCGGCGCGTGGGACGGGGCCCCGCGGCTGGGGAGGTCACCGCGGCCGCGCGCATTCGGCCCCCCGCGCTCGGGCCGTTTGAATCTCCCGCCCGCGGGGCCGCCGCGGGGCGGGCTGGCGACAGAGGCACGGCGGCGGAGGGGCTGCGCGGCCCCTGCTAGCGCGAGGCGGGGCCGGGCCGGCCAGCCGCTCCGCAGGTCTTGGGCACGCGCGATCGCACCGCGCCTTCGCGCCGCCAGCTTCACGCAGGGTCGGCGCTGCGCGCCCCGGGGAGCGCGCGAGCAGCGACCCCGGCCCGCCGCGGATCCGCGATGCTCCGCCGGGCACCCGCGCGCCTCCCTCCTCCCGGCCTCTCCGCACGCCGACGCGCGACCCACCTCGGTGCAGAGCAGCCACAAGGAACTCCAGCGCTCGCCCGCCGGGCCGCGAACTGCCCCGGAGCATGCGCTCTGTAGGCCTCCGGCCCCGACCCTGGCCAGAAGGGAAAACAAAGAGCCCGGCGCCCCCTGGCGGCCACCCCTGGAAGTGCAAGTGGCTGCTCCTGGGTCGCGAGCTTTTGGCCAGGCTTTTGCTACTGGCCCAGCTGCAGTGGTTGTGTACTTTGGAAACCTCAAACCAGGCCAAGTGGACTGACAACTAGCCAGCCCGAAGAGTACTTGACTCAGGGTTTGTTCTGGAAAATCTGGTGAGGAAGGGTCTGTACGAAGCAAAAAGATACTGATCTTTCCTTGCCCTCTAGAGTATCTCCACACAGAAGGATGAGAAATCAGACCGTCAACCACATGGGGTCATAACAGAGGTACACACTGGGCCATCTGACTCAGCCTGCGGCTTAAGAACGGCCGTCCAAGTTAAATCTAGGAGGAAAAGGCATCCTAGGAGGGCGGCACTTGGAATATCGGCTAGCGGGGAAAGCCGGGAAGGGTGCAGGAAACTGCCGTGAAGACTGGAACAGCGGTGCCCGGGGAATATCACAGGGTGCACGTGGCCCTGTGGTACGATGAAGTGCCGCCTCTGTCCTGAGCAACGGGGAACTGTGGAAGGGTTCTGCTCCACATGATCAGGGTTTTGTTTGAGAACAAAGTGGAGAAGGGTTTGGGGTAAAGAGGGACTAAGAATGGGGGAAGTAAAAGGAAAGAGACCAGAAGAAGATGGGGGGAGTGGGCTGAAGGCTGAAGGTGTGGCTTAAGCAGTGGAGCACCTGTCCAGTAAGCTCAATGCCTTGAATTCAAACCCCAGTATCGCCCCGAAATAAAAATAAATAAGAAAAGGCTGGGTCCTAAGTACTACATGCCTGTAATCCCAGTTACTTGGGAGGCTGAGGAAGGAAGATCACAGCTGTGGGCCAGCCTAGGCAATTTACTGAGACTCTGTCTCAGAATAAGCATTAAAGGGCTGGTGGAGGGGCTCAAGTGGCAGAGCAGCTGCCTAGCAGCATGAGGCCCTGACTTCAAACCCCAGAATGGGCAACAAATAAACATTTAAAAAGGAGAGGAGCACAGAAAGAAAAAGAAAGAGAAAGAGAAAAAAAGAGAGAGGAAGGAAGGAAGGAAGGAAAGGAGGAAGGGAGGAAGGGAGGGAGGATGGAGAAAAAAAAGAAGGGAAGAAGCTAAAAGCACAAATTGGGGTAGAGCTGAAGCTGGGAAGCAAGCATCAAGCAAAATCCTTCTTGCTGGCACACCCTCAGACGCACACAACCAGCTCTTCAAGATTTTGCCTATTCCTGAGGTGACTACTTAGGCCATTTGATTGTGTCACTTTTCCCACGAGGGCAGCAACCTCTGCAGAAGGGCATTTTTGTGTTTCACATTAATTCTGATTCCAGACATCATCCTACATGGATATTTTAATTTTTTTTTCTGAGACAGACTGTGTAGCCCAGACTGGCTATGAACTTGCCATCCTCCTGCCTCCACCTCTGGAGTAGTTGGGATGACAGTTGCACACCACAGTATGCTTATTGGTTAAGGTGGGTCTCTCTAACTTTTTGCCCGGGCTGACCTCAGACCTCCATCCTCCTGATCTCCACCTCCCAAGTAGCTGGAATTACAGATGTGAGTCACTGCACCTGGCCAAGATGGTTTTTTGTTTTTTTTGGTACTGGAGATTGAACTCAGTGCTTCATGTTTGCTAGATAGTCACTCTACCACTTGAGCCACATTGCCAGCCCCACGATGGACATTTTTTCAATCATTTTTAATTAGGATATATTCATTATACAGGGGGGGATCCATAGTGACAATTCTGATTAGACTTATATTGTACATTAGTTACATCACCCCATCTTCTCTTCCCCTCAACCCCTTCCCTAAGAGTGACTTTTTTTTTTTTTTTTGCAGTACTGGGGCTTGAACTCAGGGCCTACACCTTGAGCCACTCCACCAGCCCTTTTTTGTGTTCGGTATTTTTGAGATAGGGTCTCACAAACTCATTTGCCTGGGCTGGCTTCACACCTTGATCCTCCTGATTTCTGCCTCATGAGTAGCTAGGATTACAGGTGTGAGCACCAGTGCCTGGTACAAGATCTACATTTTTAAAAAATTTTTTATTTTATTCATATGTGCATACAATGTTTGGGTCATTTCTCCCCCCTTCCCCCCACCCCCTCTCTTACCCCCTGCCCCCCAGCCCCCCTTACCCCTCGCTACATGAAGATCAACATTTTTGATGAGTGTTTTCCAATTGAATTTCTCCTACTATGTAGTGCCCACCCCAGTGCACTCACATATTTAGTCTCTTACCTCTTCAAGTTTACCTCTGCCTCCATTGTGGGTTCCTCTTCTGGATGATATACTTTGAGGTGTTTCCAAGTTTTAACCGTAGGACCTCTGATCTTTCTGGGTTGTCTTCCTCCAAGATCTTACTCACTCACATGGCTTAATGTAATTATAAAAATGATTATTATTACCTATTTTGTAAAAGGCATTTGTAACTACAGAACACATCCATATGCATAAACTCATTTGTTCCTTAGAGAAACCTCAGGAGAGTTAGAAAATGAGATTCAGCCAGGTGCCGGTGACTGGTTTTCCAGTAACATGAGTTCAAGCCCCAATACTGCCAAAAAATAAATAAAAATAACCACAGCAAAATGGATGGGAGGTGTGGTTCAAGAGGAAAGCCCTGAGTTCAAACCAGTTCCACCAAAACAAGGGTTGGTGGAGTGGCTCAAGAGGCATCTCACACAGGTGCTAGTGGCTTATGACTGTAATCCTACCTATTTAGGAGGCAGAGATCAAGAGGATCACAGTTCAAAGCCTGTCTGGGCAAATAGTGAGACCCTGTCTCGAAAATACCTAACACAAAAAGGGCTGGTGGAGTGGCTCAAGGTGTAGGCCTTGAGTTCAAGCCCCAGTACCACAAACCACAACAACAACAACAACAAAAAAGGGGAGGTATCACACCTGCTTAGCAAGCATAATGGAAGCCCTACGGTCAAACTCCAGTACCACCAAAAAACAATGACAAAAACACACACAAACAAAAGAAAAAAAAAAAAAAAGAAAGAACAAAAATAAAACAAAGGCTGGGCACAGTGGCTCACATCTATAATCCAAGTTACTCAAGAAGCAGAGGTCAGGACTATCAAGGTTCAAGTCCAGATTGGGCAAAAAGTTAGCAAGACCTCCATCTCAACAAGAAACCAATATCTGAAAAATAACTAAAGCAAAAAGGGGTGGGGATGTGGCTCAAGTGGTAGAGCACTTGCCTAGAAAGCTCAAGGTCACCCCCCCCATATACACACACAAATCAACTAAACAATTTTGGAAAACTTCCAAATGTTTAAAAACTAAATAACACACTCTTAGTCCATAGATCAAAGAAGAAATCAAAAAGGAATTTTTTTTTGGCAGCACCAGGGTTTGAACTCAGGGTCTCATGCTTGCTAGACAGGAGTCTCTAGTTTTTGCCCTAGTTAAAAAGTATCTGGAATCACAGGTGTGCTCACCACACCCAGCTTGTTCTTGAGATGGGATCTAAGATTTTGCCAGACTGGCCTTTAACTTTCTTATCTCACTGTTCTGAATAGCTGAGATTGCAGATTTAAGTCACCATGCCTGGCCCAAAAGAATTTTTAAGCCAGGCACTGGTGGCTCACACCTGTAATCCTAGCCTCTTGAGAGGCTGAAATTGGGAGGATTGTAACTAGCCTCAAAGTAAACAGAGAAAAGGAGTACCAAAATAGGAACTAATGAACCTGATCACAGTAAGACAATAAAGTCATCAATCAGTGCCTTCTCTATATGCCAAGTATGGTACAAACACAGCTCCTTTCTTTGAGAACCCTTCAAGTAGTAGGTCAGATGGACATTAATTAGAAAATAACCATACTGTCAGGCTTGGTGGTTTACATCTGTAATCCCAGCTACTGGCAAAGTGGAGATTGGGAAGATTGTGGTCTGAGGATAACCTCAAACCAAGCAAAAAGTTAGCCAGACCCTATCTCAAAAAATAGGTCAGTTATAGTGGCAGGTACTTGTAATCACAGCTTTGTGGGAGGCATAGGTTGGAGAATTGGAGGTCTGAGGCTTGCCCTGGTAAAAAATCCACCAGGCTCCCACCCTTCCCCCCTAAAAAGCCCCCAACAAACCCATCTGAAAAATAACTAAAAGGGGTGGGGCGCTGTGGAGATGTGGTTTAAGCAGTAGAGCACCTGCCTAGCAAGTCCAAAGCTGACTTTAAACCCTAATATTGCCAAAAATATAAAACAGAAAAGTGCATGGCTCAAGTAGTGGGTAGAGAGCATGCCCACCAAGTGCAAGTTCCTGAGTTTTGAGGCCATTTTGATGCTTAAAGGGGAGATGAAGACAGTGATTCAGGGTTTAGGCTCTGGAGACCAGCAGTCCTTCAAACCCCTCTCTGCTGTGACTTGGACAAATAACCTAACCTTGTCTTCCTTACCTGTAAAACAGATTGAATAAAGTCCCTGTACCACAGAGGTGTTGCAAGAATTAGAGAATGCTATCACATAGTAAATCTCATCATGGGGGAAAAAAAAAACAACAAAAAAACATGCACAAAGACCAGAGAGTGAGGTGTTGCCCTCACTCCCCAGGAAATTGGACGTGTGTGTGTGTGTGTGTGTGTGTGTGTGTGAGAGAGAGAGAGAGGAGAGAGAGAGAGAGAGAGAGAGAGAGAGAGAGAGAGAGAGAGAGAGAGAGAGAGAGACTGGGATGTGAACTCAGGGCCTCCACCTTGAGCCACTCCACCCACCCTTTTTTTGCAATGGGTTTTTTAGATAGACTCTCTCAAACTATTTGCCCCAGCTGGCTTCCAACTGCCATCCTCTGATCTCTGCCTCCTGAGTAGCTAGGATTATAGGCATGAGCCACCAGCACCTGGCTTCAGTATTCTATTTCCAAGTCAAGTAAGGCTAGGCACATAGCACATTCATATTAGCTGACCCTCTATATCCATGTCTTCTGCATCTGTAGATCCAATAGCTGATCAAAAACACTGGGAAAAAGGTGCACCTGGGCAGAATATTGATTTCTCTTGTTATTAAGCAACTACAATTACATTAATAGTTATGAGCAAAACTATTCACATAGCATTTACATTGTATACTTGATTTCAAGCATATGGAAGTGCCTAGGTTCTATGTAAACACTGCACCAGCCAGACGCCTGTAATCCTAGCTACTCAGGAGAGGTATCAGGAGGACCCAGGTTCAAGCCACCCTGGGCAAATGGGTTTGCAAGACCCTATCTAGAAAACACCTATCACAAAAAGAGGCTGGCAACACATCAAAAAGATTATTCACCATGACCAAGTAGGCTTCATCCCAGGGATGCAGGGGTGGTTCAACATACGAAAATCAATAAACGTAATAAACCACATTAACAGAAGCAAAGACAAAAACCACTTGATCATCTCAATAGATGCAGAAAAAGCCTTTGATAAGATCCAACATCATTTATTGATAAAAGCTCTAAGAAAACTAGGAATAGAGGGAAAGTTCCTCAACATTATAAAAGCTATATATGACAAACCTACAGCCAGCATTATACTTAATGGAGAAAAACTAAAACCATTCCCTCTAAAATCAGGAACCAGACAAGGATGCCCACTATCTCCACTCCTATTCAACATAGTACTGGAATTCCTAGCCAGAGCAATTAGGCAAGAAGAAGGAATAAAAGGAATACAAATAGGTAAAGAAACTGTCAAAATATCCCTATTTGCAGACGACATGATCCTGTACCTTAAAGACCCAAAAAACTACTCAGAAGCTTCTAGACATCATCAATAGCTATAGCAAGGTAGCAGGATATAAAATCAACATAGAAAAATCATTAGCATTTCTATACACTAACAATGAGCAAACTGAAAAAGAATGTATGAAAACAATTCCATTTACAATAGCCTCAAAAAAAATCAAATACCTAGGTGTAAACCTAACAAAAGATGTGAAAGACCTCTACAAGGAAAACTATACACTTCTGAAGAAAGAGATTGAGGAAGACTATAGAAAGTGGAGAGATCTCCCATGCTCATGGATTGGTAGAATCAACATAGTAAAAATGTCGATACTCCCAAAGTAATCTACATGTTTAATGCAATTCCCATCAAAATTCCAATGACATTCATTAAAGAGATTGAAAAATCTACTTAAATTTATATGGAAACACAAGAGGCCACGAATAGCCAAGGCAATACTCAGTCAAAAGAACAATGCAGGAGGTATCACAATACCTGACTTCAAACTATATTACAAAGCAATAACAATAAAAACAGCATGGTACTGGCACAAAAACAGACATGAAGACCAGTGGAACAGAATAGAGGACCAGATATGAAGCCACACAACTATAACAACTTGTCTTTGACAAAGGAGCTAAAAATATACGATGGAGAAATAGCAGCCTCTTCAACAAAAACTGCTGGGAAAACTGGTTAGCAGTCTGCAAAAAACTGAAACTAGATCCATGTATATCACCCTATACCAAGATTAACTCAAAATGGATCAAGGATCTTAATATCAGACCCCAAACTCTTAAGTTGATACAAGAAAGAGTAGGAAATACTCTGGAGTTAGTAGGTATAGGTAAGAACTTTCTCAATGAAACCCCAGCAGCACAGCAACTAAGAGATAGCATAGATAAATGGGACCTCATAAAACTAAAAAGCTTCTGTTCATCAAAAGAAATGGTCTCTAAACTGAAGAGAACACCCACAGAGTGGGAGAAAATATTTGCCAACTATACATCAGACAAAGGACTGATAACCAGAATATACAGGGAACTTAAAAAACTAAATTCTCCCAAAACTAATGAACCAATAAAGAAATGGGCAGTGAACTAAACAGAACTTTCTCAAAAGAAGAAATTCAAATGGCCAAAAACACATGAAAAAATGCTCACCATCTCTAGCAATAAAGGAAATGCAAATTAAAACCACACTAAGATTCCACCTCACCCCTGTTAGAATAGCCATCATCAGCAACACCACCAACAACAGGTGTTGGCGAGGATGCGGGGAAAAAGGAACCCTCTTACACTGTTGGTGGGAATGTAGACTAGTACAACCACTCTGGAAAAAAATTTGGAGGCTACTTAAAAAGCTGGACATCGATCTACCATTTGATCCAGCAATACCACTCTTGGGGATATACCCAAAAGACTGTTACTCCAGAGGCACCTGCACATCCATGTTTATTGCGGCACTATTCACAATAGCCAAGTTATGGAAACAGCCAAGATGCCCACCACTGACGAATGGATTAAGAAAATGTGGTATCTATACACAATGGAATTTTATGCAGCCATGAAGAAGAACGAAATGTTATCATTCGCTGGTAAATGGATGGAATTGGAGAACATCATTCTGAGTGAGGTTAGCCTGGCCCAAAAGACCAAAAATCGTATGTTCTCCCTCATATGTGGTCATTAGATCAAGGGCAAACACAACAAGGGATTGGACTATGAGCACATGATAAAAGCGAGAGCACACAAGGGAGGGGTGAGGATAGGTAAGACACCTAAAAAACTAGCTAGCATTTGTTGCCCTTAACGCAGAGAAACTAAAGCAGATACCTTAAAGCAACTGAGGCCAATAGGAAAAGGGGACAGGACTAGAGAAAAGGTTAGATCAAAAAGAATTAACCTAGAAGGTAACACCCACACAGGAAATCAATGTGAGTCAATGCCCTGTATAGCTATCCTTATCTCAACCAGCAAAAACCCTTGTTCCTTCCTATTATTGCTTATACTCTCTCTACAACAAAATTAGAAATAAGGGCAAAATAGTTTCTGCTGGGTATTGGGTGGGGGAGGGGGGGAAGAGGTGGTAAGGGAGGGGGTGGGGGCAGGGGGGAGAAATGAACCAAGCCTTGTATGCACATATGAATAAAAGAAAAATGAAAGAAAAAAAAAACCACTAATGTAATACCATAAAAAAAATCTTGAAATACATAATATTGTTCTCAGTCATTTAAAAAAAAAAAAAACAAAAAGAGGCTAAGTGGTTCAAGGTTTAGGATCTGAGTTCAAACCCCAGTACTGAAAAAAACAAAAAACAAAATAGTACATCATTTTATGAGACTTGAGCATACAGATTTTGTTATCTGCTGGGGGTGTCTTAGAACCAGTTTCTTGAGCATATTCAGAGATGACTTATTTCATCACACTGCAGTTGAGTTTTAGGTAGTTTGCTACACTTGACTACTATAAATTTGGTCTGTAGTCCTAGCTCAGTGGTAAAGCATTTGCCTAGCATTGGTGAGGTCTTGGGTACTTGGGGCAGGGTAGTTCTAAGGCTTAAACCAGTTGGATATGTGGTGATATATATGGTGGTGATATAAACCAGTGTGATATGTGGTGATATATATGTGGATATGTGGTGATATATATGTGGTGATATAAACCAGTGTGATATGTGGTGCATGTCACAGGTTGCACTGGACTACATGCTGTCATCTTATGGCAGAATTTGGGCATTTCTTCAGTCCTACTTCCTCACCTGCAGACACCCAGTTATACATGGAGATTAGATGAAACAATGTATCTATAACCTTATCACTGCAACTGGTTTTCACATGACTTTCTTAGGTAAATTAATTCCTGAACTACCTCCTTCTCTTCCCTGGAAAGGTAGGGTGTTTTCTGTGATCAAGCCTGGCTTGATAGTTGACTTTGTTAGAAGTCCATAATACTTATGTGGTAGACTGTAAAGATATTTTTATAAATTTGAGAAGACTGAAGTTGTAATTCCTCAAAGGTCCCATGGACAGCAAGTGGTGTTACCAGGATTCAAATCCAGTACTCCAAAGGTTGGCAAGTGAACCCAGCACCTGTGGCTTTTGCTTGTTCACACTGGCAAACACAGGAGAAACCTCATTTGCTCTAGGTAAACAGATCACAGAAGGGCAGGCAGAGTGACTTCCAATTGGGAAGTCCTACTTCACACCTCTGAATGACTGAGGTTCTCACTAATCACTAGCAGGCAGTGTACTTTCAGCCATGTGCAAAAGGGCACTTGCCACATATATCCCTACTTTCTCCTAACCAGACTATAAAGCTGGTTAGCCAACAGAGGAGCTACAATTCACCTGACTTTACCTTCTAAGTGGTTCCCATCCTTCAGGGCCTTGACTTTTCTACAATGCTGGCAGCCAGTGTGGAGGGTTGAAAATATCTATTATGACAGGTTTCCCACATCATGAGGCGTGCTGGTAATTTTAGGCTCAAGCCTCATCACATTAAAGGGCATAAGTAGCTGTGAAAGCAGACTGCCAGCTGCTCAGCTCAATTTCCCCATGTATTTTGATTGCATCAGTCAACTCCTCTGTGTTCCAAACTTAGTATCTATGATTAACACCCTATTGACAACTTGACCATTTTAAGTCAGTAAGGCAAGATGTCTCAATCCCCATCTTTGGTGTTACTCGTAAGCAAGTTACAGGCAGGTCCTACTTCATCATTTCCCAAGCAAGTTTTTATGAACCAATTCTAACTAGCACCATTTGCAGAAAACTGGTCAGGCATCCCCCAGTGTACATGATAAAAAAAAAAGTACCACATACTCATTATTTCAATTCTTATTTATTCAATCTCAGATGTTAGGTGTAACACAAAGAGTGAAAAACCCAAGCCAAAAGGATCTAAGGACATCTAGCTATGTGCATGTACAAGTCATTCAAATACAGGACTTTCAGAAATGTCATGGCTGAGATTGGCAGGAGGATCCAGAACTTAAAAGAAGCCTGTGCCACATAGGGAGACCCTGCCCCAAAAAGTAATGTGCCAATGTTTCTAAATCCTGCATCACTAAAAATTAAAATTACTTTACCCATTCCCCATTGTAATAATTAAAACGAGCACAAATCAGTAATTCAGTCAATTTCCAGTGTGGTTCCTCTTCTCTCCTGAATGAAAAACAGAACAAGATCAGACTCTCGAAGGTCTTAAATCTAAAAAACTCTTAACACAGCATACATTTGTTTCCTGCATGGTTTATCTCCCCAGTCATTGTCCAGAGGACTCTGAGAAGTTGTAGGAATATGCAGACGCAGACTCAAGGCCCGGCTTTTTCTACAACGTTGTGGAAAGGGACTGTACATCATGGGGCAGAGCCCTGTGCTCCCGTGTGCCACTAGGACAGAGCCCGGAAAGAGTGACCTCCCGGGGTGTCCACGTTGGAAACTAGTGCTAGATCAGACCGAGAACAAATGCAATATTCCCAAAACATCCCTCAAAGCATCTGCATGGGCTTAATGCCCCTCATCTTCTCTGCTTGTTACTCCAACTGTTCATTTGAAAGTAGCTTCTCTCTAAACCACGTGACAACAAGGAAAAAAATCACATATTAGGTAAGAAAAAAAAATAGAGGAATTTACTAACCTCAAACAAATCGTCATTTGGAATGTGAGTTCTGCAAAACAAGGCATTCATTAATGAATATGAAAGACAAATCTTTCTGGGTTTGAATTCAGGTTGTGTTTGTTAAGCCGTACCCAAACCAAGCAATCTCTCAAAACACATACTAGTGTTTCCTGCATGGTTTATCTCCCCAGTCATTGTCCAGAGGACTCTGAGAAGTCGTAGGAATATGCAGGCGCAGACTCAGGGCCCGGCTTTTTCTCCAACGTTGTGGAAAGGGACTATACATCATGGGGCAGAGCCCTGTGCTCCCGTGTGCCACTAGGACAGAGCCCGGGGAGAGTGACCTCCCGGGGTGTCCACGTTGGGTGTAATTTATCTAACACGCAGACTATGCTAAAAAACAATTTCAACTGCAAAAAAGACATTTCTCTTCAAAACCAATGGGTAGTCATGGTCCATAATTAGCTTTCAGCAAATCTAGAAATTCAATATTGAAGCAGAATAACGGTCGTTAGCCTATTCCACTATTTTTACCACTATATTTCAAGAAATTAAGACTGCTGTGTGCTGGTGGTTCACACACCCTAATCCTAGCTAATCAGGAAGATTGAAGTTTAAAATACAGCACCGGACAAATACTTCGAGACACTATCTTGAAAATGCACAACACAAAAAGTGCTGGTAGAGTGGCACAAGCCATAGAGCGGTGCCTAGCCAAGTGCGGAGCACTAGCATCACAAAAGAAAGGAAAATCTAAAGAACTGGAGGTGTGGCTTAGACGATAGAGTATAGAGTACCTGCTTTGCCAGCGGTAAGCCTTGCGTTCAAACTAGTCCCAACCGACTAAATCTATCTTCTGAGACTCACCATTTGCTCTTTTCGATTGGCATACTGCAAAGGGTGGCAGTAGTATTTTCACCCTAACAATGGGGCTACACTAGCACTAGCAGAGTTATAACATAAAAACCAAATGTTAGCGGAATGAGGAAAGTTTAATTAGTAAACGCGTATGGGAGCTGGGCGTGGCGATCTGAGCCTGTAATCCCAGCACTCGCGCCTTCATTTCGAGCTAAAACACTGTTTTAAGAAACACATACAAAAAAACCAAAACCGCACACGGGGTCGGAACGAAGCTTCTATACGTGTGTCCAGACACGTTGTGTCCAGTAGGCAGCTGTTTAGTACACTACGCCAACAATCATAGTGGCGGGCGGGGTGGGGAAGCAGCGCCGCCTGCTCCGGTCTCCGCGGCCCACATCTGACCCAGCACAGCGCAGACATCAAATATACCATATAGGGACGCCGTTCTAAAGGCGATCTTCCTAAATAATGTTACCGTCAAGAAAAGCGACTTGCCGAACTGAGATCCTAGACTCAAACTAAAGGAATCGAGCAAGAGTGGCTACTCACCAAAAACATCCAGAAAGCAGCAGAAACCTTACGCCGAAAGACCGAAGAGCGCCTATGCGTCCGTATTTATACTTTACGAAGAGTCCGGAAGTCTGTGGATGAATTCTGCGCCTGCGTAGGGGCATGCGCAATTACGGACTTGGAAATTCGCAAGGGCTGCTGGGATCTATGGGCGGTTCCGCACCACCCCTACTTGGATGAGAAGACTCTCGCGATACTAGCAACTTGGCGTGGGACTTTACCGGGGAAAGTAAATTGCAGTTTTGTAGGTGTGTTGCTGGTTACTTAGAACCAGATAGGAAGTTTTTTTTTTTTTCTCTACAATCGATTTACCCTTACATAAATTGGAAAAAAAAAATGGAATAAGTGCGCAAAATAGGAAAAGGCATCTAGAGAAATTTAAAAGATACAAAAAGAATTGATTCTGCTCTATACCGTGTGACAGAACCCCTCCACATACAGACTGGGAATCCGCCAGCACTGGGAATTAAACCCAGGACCTTGTGCATACTTGGCAAGCTATATTCCCAGACCTTTTTTTTTTTTTTTTGTAGACAGGGTCTCTAAATTGTTCAGGTTAGCCTCCTGAGTGCTGAGACTACATGTAAGGCATGCACCACCAAGCCGGGTTGAAAGAAACATTTGATAAATTCAGGACATAAGTTCTTCTAGATGAATTGAAATTTAAAACCTCCTCTGCACACCAATGAATATGTATATAATGCCACTTAACTGTAAACTTAAAACTGGTTAAAATGGGGACTAGGAGTGTAGCTCAGTGGTAGGGTATTAATTAGCCTAGTATGCAAGGGCCTGAGTTTGATCCCCAGCATCGCAAAAACCAAGAAAAACACCCACTCCAGAGCCTAAGGTAGAAGCATTGGAAGTTGGAGAGCAACCAGGACTACATAGAAAGACTATGTATCAAACCAACCAACCAATCAACAAGCAACAACAATAAAACCTTAACAAGGTTTTATGGTAGGTGTATTTTATCACACACAAACCCCAACAAATACAAAGACATAAGCAAGTAAAGAAGGTTGAAAAAAAGCTCACATCCGTAATCCTAGCTACTCAGGAGGCAGAGATCAGGAGGATCGTGGTTCGAAGCCAGACTGGGCAAATAGTTCAGAGACTCTATCTCATAAAAACACATCACAGAAAAAGGGCTGGTGAAATGGCTCAAGGTGAAGGCCCTGAATTCAAGCCCCAGTACCACAAAAAAAAAAAAAAAAAAAAAAGTTGAAGCTACAAGATCAAAATGCTCTGGGGTGTAGCTCAGTGAGAGTCTTTTTCATAAGAGGTTCCGGGTTTGATCCCCAACACTGCAAAAACACCACCTCCACCAAGTGAAGTGCTGAGAATGTGATAGAATTTTAAGTATGAGGTTAGGCAAATTAAAAAAAAAAAGGCTATTTGGCTCAAGTGGTAGAGTACCTGCCTACCAAGCGTGAAGACATTGAGTTCAAAGAAAATAAGATTCACTAAAGATTAGGTGAATAAATGGTAAATAAATTGACATAGAACCATCAGAACTAGACTCTACCGAGTAGAAACATTTACCACAGTCCTCCTACTCCTGCAATTAGATTTTATGATTAATGCTTTACATACATTATTTGCTATCATAGCAATTCTAAGACACTGATATGATTACCTTTTTTTTTTGGTGGTACTGGGGTTTGAACTCAGGGCCTTACACTTGCTAGGCAGGTGATCTACCACTTGATCCACTCTACCAGCCCTGTTTTTTGTGAACAGTATTTTCGAGATAGGGTCTTGCCAAGGCTGGCTTCAAACCAAGGTCCACCTATCTCTGCCTCCTGAGTAGCTAGGATTACAGGTCTGAGCCACCAGCACCTGGCTGATTGCCCATTTTAAGATCTGAAACAGCCAAGTGTCAGTGGCTCATGCCTGTAATCCTAACTACTCAGGAGGTAGAGATGCGGTAGAGATCAGGAGGATCACAGTTCAAAGCCAGCCAGGCAAATAGTTTGCAAAACCCTATCTCAAAAAAAAGATGTGAAAATGTGAAACAGGTCACCAGATCAGTGCTCAAAAAGGTCAGCAGACCTCAGTGCTCAAAAAATTCTCAGAAGACTGAGAATTTTTTTTTTGAGGTGCCAGCAGTAGTATTTATTGTTATTCATGAGTGGTCAAAGACTTAGAGGTTCATTATCACTGGTACAACCACATGTATGAAATGTCAACACATGGACTGAAAGGGTAGTTGTATATTTTATTAAAAAACACAGACATACACGAATGTTCATGTATGCTGCTACAAAAGCAGGAAGCATCAAGCTGTAGGAATCCTGATATACACAGCATATGGAAGTATCTCAAGCATAAAAACTGTACTGTACTCAAGTTGCAAAAATAAAATTTCTTTAAACATTTTGATCTGAGTTTGAGCAAAGCAAATAAAGAACACCAATGATTTTCATATGATTTCATGTACTTTAAAATAATCAACAAGAGTTAACAGCTGCAAAAAACCAAATCAAATGAAAACAAAACAACAACAAAAAACCCTGAAAAAATGGAAGTTACAGGAACATACAATGCATTTCATCCAAAGTAAGTCTACAGCGTATCTGGCTTTCAGATACCTAAGAATCGTAATTTACATTATTACTCAGATGACAAGGTAAACCAGAACAAGCATTGTGATAAACAGAAGAATCATCACTGCAAACAAGGCAGCGCTGCGCCTCGGTTTCTTCAGTTTCACTAGTGCAAGAGCATCATTTACCTGAAAGATCATAAGTCACAATTAAAGAGAGCTCATGCAAAACTATTTCCTTTTTCCTTTAAAAAGTGCCACATACTATACTTTTCATTTAAAAAGAAAATCCAACACGTAAGCTAATGAAGGAATGTTTGTCTCCATCTCTTGTCGATGAGGAACGTCCAGAGTGACTCTTTGATTCCGACTCGAAATGGTGTCCGCTGGCCAATGCCCAGCGTCTCCAATTTGGAGCAGTCAAGCTGAGCATTTCTTGGACGTTGCGCGCCTATGACTGGGCTGTCAGTAATAGGTCTTAGGTGGCTGCTGGGGAGGTTGAAAGCATCTGCTGCCATTTCGTATTTGTCATCTGTTCATTGCTGGACCAGTGAAAGTTTCCCTTAATTGACAGATCCAGCATCCTCTTCTCTGCCAGCTGCCGGCACACGCTTGCCACATCCTTGATGTGGGTGGGGAACTTCTGCTGCCAGTGGTCCATGTTTGCTGACTTGTTGCTGAACTGCACTTTATCAAACATGGCAGTCACAGCACTTTCTTCAAGCTTTTCAACTTCCCCATACATAACAGGAATTCTCAAAACAGCAGCTCCTGTGTTATTCTCCAGGACCGCCTTTCCCCTTCTAATTTTGTTTTGCCATACAAGTTTAGGGGATTTGGTGTGTCTTCCTCTGTATATGGTGGATTTGTTCCATCAAAAACATAATCTGAGCTAATGTAGATGAGAAATGCTCCAACTGCAGCTGCTTCTGTTGCTAGATTTCCAGAAGCAGCCACATTAAGCTGAGAAGCAGCGTCTGGCTGACTCTCTACGACATCTGGTCTTCTCTCTGCTGCACAATGCACGACAACATGAGACTGAAAATCATGAATGATGTGGTGAACTGCTTCAGAATCCAACAGATTAGCTTGTTCAAATTGTGGTCTTGCTCTTCTAAAACCACAGCCGACAGCATGCCTGTTATTCTGCTGAAATTCTTTGTAAACGGTTCTGCCAAGAAGCCCAGTGGCACCAGTAACCAGAACTTGCCTAGTGGGGATGTTTACTTCCTCCTGTTACATGTCCTCTGGCATTTCAGGCATGATTCCACAAAAATTTCAGGGCCAGAGGATTGGAGGGATGGATCTCAACATCTGCCTCCTCTGGCTGGGTCTTTCTCTGCTCTGCCTGCAGAGAGCACAGGCAGCCAAAACGTGAGCACTGGCTTCACTTGACCTTTAAAATTCTGAGAATTTTTTTTCTGCCATACTGGAATTTGAACTCAGGGCCTCCATTTGTTTTTGTTTAGTTACTTTTTGGATAGGGACTCAAGTTTTTGCCTTGGACTGGCCTCACACTGCAATCATCTCAGTTTCTACCTCCTTAGTAGCTAAAATTACAGGCTTGAGCCATCAAGGTTTTTTTTTTGGTGGTCCTGGGGATTGAACTCAGGGCCTCCCACTTGTTGGGAAGCCCTATACCACTTGAGCCACACTCTGACCCTTTGCTTTTTTAGTTTGTTTTTTCAAGCCTCAGACAACAGGTCTGGGACAGCAATCCTCCTACCTCAGATGCCCAAGTAGCTAGGATTACAGGCCTGTACCATGATGCATGGCCCTGAGATTTCAAGGGTCCATAGTGTCAAAACCATTTCATAATTATACTTAGATTTTATTTGCTTCCTTTGCTTCATTAACATTTATGCTGATGGTGCAAAAAAAAATCACTGTTTAAAACTGCTAGTGCCTAATGCAATTGAAGGGCTGGTCATCAACTGCAATAGTAATCATTGTAGTCTTCATCATCATCAAATCAAAGTTTAAAAAAAATCAAAGATAGTTGTGGGTAATGCACACCTGTAATCCCTGCAGCTAGGGGGGCTGAGGCACGAGGGCATCGAGTTTCAGGCCAGCTTGGACTACATAGCAAGATCCTGTCTCAAATAAATAAAAAGGATGGGCTCAGTGGCTCAAAAATGTAATCCTAGCTACTCTGGAGGCAGAGATTGGGAGGATCGAGGTTCAAGGCCAGCCTGGGCAAAAAGTTCTTTTCTTTTTTGCTAGGCATGCATTCTATAACTTGAGCCACTCCTCCAGCCCCCCAAAAGTTCTTGAGACCCTATCTCAACCAATAAAAAATGGGCATGGTTGTGTATCTGTCATTCCAGCTACACAGGAAGCATAAATAAGAGGATTATTGTCCAGCACAGCCTAGGCATCATTGTGATACTATTTCAACATAACTAAAGCAGAAAGGGCTAGAAGTGTGGCTCAAGCAGTTGAGTGCCTGCTTTACAAGCACAAAGCCCTGAGTTCAAACCCCAGTTGCACCAAAAAAACCCCCCAAAAAACATAAACCCAGAAAACAACCACAAAAAACAGCTGGAGGAGTGGCTCAAGTGGTAGAGCACCTGATTCACAAGCACAAGTTCCTGAGCTCAAACTACAATACCACCTAAAAAATCAAACGAAATTTGTTGGGCATGGTGTGCATACCTGCTATCCTAGCATTTAGTAGGCTAAGGCAGGAAGATCTTGATTTCTAGCCAGTCAGGGTAAAATAGTAGGACACTGTATCAAAAAAACACAAACAAAACAAATCTGTTGGCTTTGAACGTGGATGGTAGTCAAGGTGAGGAGACAAAGGAACTGTGAGATTTCTGAGATAGGGAATGCAGAGAATTTGCTGTCTCACTAGAACTCAGAGGAGAGAGAGGAACTAGAGAATGATACCCAAGTTTCAGCTTTGAGAGGCTGAACTATAAGGTGGTTAAGTCTGACTGAAAACAGGCAGGTGTGGGAGAGGTAGAGTAAGGCCCATATGGGGGCTGCATTGTTACCTGGCTAACATGGCAACTTCATATATGGAGTTGGAGCTCCAGCAAGAAATCTGAGTTAATAGCCAGGCACTATTACCACTGTAATCCTAGCTACTCTGGAGGCAAAGATCAGAAGGGTTACAGTTCAAAGCCAGTTCCAGGAAAATAATTCATGAGACCCTATTTTGAAAATACCCCACACAAAACAGGGCTGGAGGAGTGGCTGAAGTGGTTGACACCTACCTAGTCAGTTTGAGGCCTTGAGTTCAAACCCCTAGTACTGCCAAAAAAGAAATCTGAGTTTTAAGATGGATGTGGTGTCACTTGCCTGTGATCCCAATACTCTGAAAACTGAGGTAGAATTGAGAGTTCAATGCCAGCCTGGGATACAGGTCAGGACCCTGTCTGTAAAAAAGGAAAAGAAATATGAGTTATTGATAAAAGATTTAGATGTTGTCAGAATAAGGGTAGTAGAGAAATTACCTTGGGAGAGCAGAGAGTGTGATGAGAGGACCCGAGACCCCAGCATTTACATGGTGGTCAGGGAAAGTCATCAGGACAGAGAAAGCACTTGGAGAAGCACCACCAAGAAGTATTGAGAACTTGGACATTAGTCTACTGTGTCAAATCCTGTGACTAGTCAAGTGGATTAACTGAACAGAGGCCTTAGAATGTGGTAGTCAACTGAGATGTCACTGGTGACCTTAGGAAAAGCCATTTTAGTTTGAAGGTAATTTAGATTTAAAAACTTTTTATTAGCATATGTGGCTTGCACAAAGGGGTTTCATCGTGATATTTATAATATGCATAAAATGTACTTGGATCAAATTCATCCCATTTGTATTACCATTTCTTAACCCTGAGCACTATATTATTATTATTATTGTGTTGGGGGTACAATGTGACATTTACAAAAGTTCCCACAATATATCTTAGTTGAGTTCATCTCCATCAGTCTTTATCGGACATGATTTTAGACAAGGAAAATAGTGTGTATAGACCAGCCAGTCATAAAGTGATACCAGGAGACCTATCCATTACTTTTTTCACCTGTTAATAATTTAGCTTTAAGCTTAACTGTCTGGACTGCATAGAAAGTTTTTTATTTTTATTTTTTTGTAGTATTGAGGTTTGAACTCAGGCCCTACACCTTGAACCACTCTGCCAGTCCTTTTTTGTGAAGGGTTTTTCTGAGACAGGGTCTCTTGAACTATTTGCCTGGGATGGCTTTGAACTTCGATCTTCCTGATCTCTGCCTCCCGAGTAGCTAGGATTACAGGTGTGAGCCACTGGCACCTGGATTGGAAGTAAGTTGTTTAACTTTAGAATAGATATATGTGAGGGGAATTACAAAAAGCAAGAGATAGGGTAAGAGGTTGAAGAAAAAGGAGGGATTAGGGTAGAATTTTTTTTGGGTGGGGACAGAAGTGAACACTATTCATACTGAGACAAAGATAAAATAAAGAAAAACAAATACAAAAAAGAAAAAGAAAAAGAAAAAAAAGAGATAGTATAAGAGATCCAGGTTGCTGGTGGTTCATGGTTTTCTTTGCATTCCTCCCAGGGCTGGAATGAAACAGAACCTTGAAGCAGTGGGTTTGGCTGTTTTGTGGCTTTGGGACTATTATTTTCTTTGTTGTACATTCTCACCTTTTTTTTTTTTTCTTGGCAGCATTGAGGTTTGAACTCAGGACCTCACGCTTGCTAGGCAGGCACTCTACCACTTGAGTGACTCCTTCATCTCTGTTTTGTGTTGGGTATTTCGAGATATGGTCTCGAGAACTATTTGCCTGGGCTGGCTTCCAAATGTGATTCTCCTGATCTCTACTGTGAACAGCCATTCTCATCCTTCATAAGATTTCCTGCCCATTTGGTGGTACTCACTGGGCCTTCTCTGATTGTGGTTCTTCTAAGCCTCCTTCATCGGGTGTAGTTACCTAAGTTCACAAAGACCCAACATTCATTCACTGATGCAGCAAACACTGGTCAATATGCACGATCAAAACAGCCTCTGGAGACATTTAATCCCAAAAGAGGAATAGAAACTTGAATCCTAGCAATTTCAGCAACAGGAATCTGGGAGCAGGGGAAATCCAATGACATGAGCAGTTCTGACTCATACCACACCTCCAGCCCCCATTTTTTTTTAGTGTACTGGGGCTTGAAATTTGAACTTAGGGCTTTCAAGCGCTCTACCACCTGAGCCATGCCCCAGTCCAGTATTTTGGGTATAATTTTAAACTGACTTTAATCTTCTGGAATGAAGCAGAACATAAAAAACAACAGAACAGAGTTGCTTGGTAGTTTAAACTTCTAAAATACTTTAATAATTAATATTGGTGAGAAAACAGATATACAACACAATTATTTATTTTACAAGGAGATTCTGTACACCAGGAAAGCATCTTGATGTACAATACACCAGGCTTTCATTTCTTTACACTATGATTGTGAGCATCCAACTTACACAAAGGGAACAAAAATCCATTTTTATACATAAAAACAAAACAACTGAATAGACTTCACCCTCTAAGTATGAATGAGATGAAAGACAAACCAGAATCCTTGATGGCACACAAAAGCAAGTAAGTAGCTCAGGAAGTCACATTCTATCTCAAGCTTGGCACAGTAAGGGACAAAAAGGCAGTGAAGAGTTTGAAAATGTCACCTTAGCCACCGAGAATAGGGCACAAGCCGAGCAGTCTCCAAAGCAAGAGCAAATGGTTTAAGTCAGCCTAGCAGTTCAGGTGTGGCTCAGACTAATAGGAGAAGCCTCACTGACCTTCTCTCAGCTACCCCAAGTGTTGATGAACTCTAGGGAGATGCAGACCCAGTATTCTTCCCATAGTTACAAAACATCTGACAATAATGGAGAAATCCAAATCTTCCTTCTCTACACAGAGAGGAAACACTACAGTCTTTTTTGTTTTTGTAGTGCTGGGGATTGAACCCAGAATTTTGAGCATGCCAGGCAAGTGCTCTACCAATAAGTTACATCCCCAGCCCTGAAAACACTACCTTTTAAAGTCACTTTAGCTGGGCATTGGTGGCTCACACCTGAATCCTACTGAAGAGGCAGAGATCAGGAGGATCACTGTTTGAAGCCAGCCTGGGCAAATAGTTCACAAGACCCTATCTCAAAAAAACTCATCAAAAAAAGGGCTGGTGGAGTGGCTCAAGGTGTAGGCTCTGAGTTCAAACCCCAGTACCCAAAACAAAACAAAAATAAAGTCACTTTAGCCTTTGTTTTGACCAGATATTCTGAAAGAAAAATATGCTAAAATATTATATATAGAAAAAAATGACAGAACCACAGAATAAATCAGAAGAGATGTATAAAACAGTCCTAAATACTAAAGTGAAGAAGAAAAGCCACATTCATCAGTTAAATAGGAATTGTTTTTCCCCACTTACAATGTAGGTAAGAATTAAAAGGGAAATAGTGAAGCTCTATGGTTTTCAACAGAGATTCAAGAAAAGTAACCAAACCTTCTGTTTTAAGAGTCTTTATCACAAATACAAAATGGGGCAGGAGCTGAGCCAATGCCTAGGCATTAACCACACTGGCTACAGATTAGAAATGGAAGGCAAATGAGGTGGGAGCTGCGAGGGTTGGCAAGCAGACCATGTGGGAGTGAAGAGGGAATGTGCAGCAGGGAAGGGCCAACAGCACTGAGGGACAAAAGCAGTGGGCCATGACTAGGCCCCTCCTTTGTGCTTTTCCAAAGATCTTTTCCTATACAGCACCCCACATCCCTTAGGACCTTGCTGTGATTCTGGCTGAAATGTGGGGTACTCCCACAGAGTACCTACAACTCTGCTTAATGGAGGAGAATACATCTATTGGTTGAAGTGATATACAAAATCATTTGGTACAAGAAAAGTATAACAGTCTAGCCGGATGTGTTGATGCACGTCTGTAATTCCAGCATCAAGAAGACTGAGGCAAGAAGATCATGAGTTTGAGGCCAGTCTGGGCTACATAGTGAGATTCTGTCTCAAAGAAAACAAACAAACAAAAAAACCAAAAAAGTACATGGCCTATAAAATTTAAGCCATAAGTCAGTTTTCTGCCAAGGTGGCATTGATATTAAGGCCTTTTTCTTATTTTTGTATACAGAAAATATACATGGCTTTCTGGTTTGAACAACTTAGATTCTGGTTGCAGCTCAGACTGTTTCTTCAAGATCATTTAAAAATTAAAACCAGGATGACAAGTGCATTGGAGGAACATGTCAGATCCTGAGCTTCCTCTCAGGCTCACATACCTGAGAGGACCATGTTGCTGTGTTACAAGAGGTGCAGTGCAATGCTTTCAAATGACATACAGTGTGGTTCAAAGGTTTCCTCTGCAAGAGGGGGACCTTTGCCAGAGACTGGGGACTCCAGAAGGCTTTCTCCACCGACAACTGGATTGGATGGCTGGAAATTAGTGTCCACACAGTGGAGTCAGGGCAGGTAAGGCTAACGGTGCAAACTGGGCCTCAGCACAGATAGTCATCTTAGGGCAGATGTGGTGCAGCCAGTAAAACTCAGAACCTGATAGTGGCTCAAAATTTTGGTGGCTGGCGAGGGAAAACCCCTCAAGAATGCTGCAATGTTAAAAAGTTCAAAAGCAGTGACAAAATACTCAGTTTTGCCCCAGGGGCAGCACAGGAGAAACCGTTCCAGTGAAAGGCTACATTCATAGAAGTGCTGTTCACCCCAAAACCACATCCCAGAGGATGCAATTCTGGCTGTGCTGGGAAGTGCTAAAGTTCCCTCCATATGTAGCTCTGAAGAAAAGCAGCAAAGCAGCCTGGTTTTTGGAGGAGTCGTTCCTCTCTCCAACTTGAGCATCATGGACGATGGTAACTAAAACAGACAATCAAAATAGAGATGTTACAAGATAATGCAGTTTCTTTGCAATTCTTTAAAATAAAAATAACAGTACTTGATTATGTTTCATTTTTTTGAACATGGGGTCTCATGATTACGTGTATATTATATACATTATATTATGTTATATATATTATGTATATATTATTGTATGTGTGTGTAGACATATTGTACACATATAGCCATGGCAATTTTACTTTTATTTTTGGTGGTTACTGGGGTTTTGAACTCAGGGCCTTGTGTTTGCTAGGCAGGTGCTCTACCTACCACTTGAACCACTCCCCAACACACATAACTTTATATATCACTACATATTATAAACTCAGGTGGTACGAAGGATTGAACCCACCAGGGTCTTGCACATGCTAAACTCATTCTCTACCATACCCCCTACTATGCTATTTTTTTTTTTTTGGACAGTCTGGGGTTTGAACTTAGGGTCTCACGCTTGCTAGGCAGGTGCTCTGCCACTTGAGCCACTCTGCCAACCCTTTTACGTGTTGGGTATTTTCAAATAGGGTCTCAAAAACTATTTCCCCAAGGGCTGGCTTTTAACCCCAATCCTCCTGATCTCTGTCTCCCAACTACCTATGATTACAGGCATGAGCCACTGGTGCCCAGCTCTATCTGCTCTAATTTTAATTCCTTTCATTACATCTGATACTCCTGTTCTCACTGAACTCCTTTCCTTTTTTTAAATTTTTTTATCCTACTATTGTTGTACTGGGGTTACACTGTGACATTTACAAAGTTCTTACAATATATCATAGTCGAATTCACCCCCTCCATTCCCCCTTCCCCCGCCACTCTTCATTTTTTCTTGAACTCTCTTTGGTTAGTTTCAGTAACACTATCTCTTCCCTGGTTTTCATTCTTCTTCCATTGCTTTTCCTCAGTATGCTGACCTGGTTTATTTTCTTGTCTAGCCTTCAAACAAAAAACAACTTTCCCATTAAAGATGCATTTTTTTATGCCACATATGGTGGTGCATGCCTATAATCATGCCTATAATGCCAGCAGCACTCAGAGGCTGAGGTAGAAGGGCCTTGAGGCCAGACTGGGTTACACAGCAAGTCCAAGGTCAGCCTGGGTTACACAGCAAATCCAAGGTCAGCCTGGATTACATAGGGAGATTGTCTTTAAAAAAAAAAAAAAAATCTTCTAATCTCTGCTTCCTGAGTAGCTAGGATTACAGGCGTTGAGACACTCACACCTGGCAAGTGTTTTCCTTTTAATGATGTTTATAGAGGTCTTCATATTTGAACAATTTGGTATGTTTGTTTGCTGGGGGAAATTTTACTTTGCTCACAGTATTTGGGTCTTTTGGATCTTACCGTGTAAAATGTTTGCTCTCTTCATGAACCTCCATCTCTGAGCTTTTAAATTCATTTAATTCTTTTCTTATGGCAGCCTGTAGCATAGAAATAAGATTTCACCATCTTTTATCTGCTGTACAGCAGTGTGATTTGCAGTCTATCTTTATTGTACTTCGTAAATGACCACAACCCTTGGCCAGCAACTCAGAAGTCAGAAGCCAGGTTAACACTGAGCCAAGATCTGAGCCCAATATATACCACTTTCCCTAACACCATTAACTTCAGAGGAAAGCTAAAATCTCAAGTAAATTCAAAATACTCAAAAAACTTAACAGCTATTATAGCTCTTACAGTTTCAAAGCATGTAACAGAAGTGTAGAATTAAGTATGTGTAAGTAGTGAAATATACCTCCCAAACTCCCTCTAACCAAGTATCACTGCCATTAAAAATACGTAAGCTTTTGTTTTTTCTTTCAATGTTGATGGTGAAGTCAAATTTTGGTTGCATATCTTGGCATTTTGTATGTAGCTTTGAAGTTTAACATTATATCTAAACGAGAGGATGGGTGGAGAGAGGAGAGAAGACAGATGAGAGAGAAGAAAAGGACATGTTTTCCAATCACCTTGTCAGCAGGAGTTAGTTTGGTCCAAGGTTTGTCTGCTCGCCGGTCATAATCTTGGGCATCTGTTACCTCCACATATTCATTAAATCTCAGAATCTTCCTGGCAAGTAGTTCAGCCACAGTTGGCCTTTGACTGAGCTGAAAGAAATGTAAGTCTCTTTGTCCACTACACCAGGAATTAGCCATCATCCATTCAGATTGACTCTAACCTTCACCAAACATCAGAATCACCAGGATAGCCTTAACAATTACTAATCCTGTGTTCCACCTTCCCCAGAAATCCTGGTTATGAAAAGTGATTAACTGATTGACTGACTGCAGTACTGAAAAGTGTGAATTCAGGGTTTTGTATGGGCTAGGCAAGTGCTCTATTGCATGAACCACTCCACCAGCCCTTTTTTTCTTTGGTTATTTTTCTTTGTTTTTGTTTTTAGGGGGTGGTACTGGGATTTGAACTCAGGGCCTCACACTTGCTAGGCAAGCACTCTACCACTTGAGCCTCTCCACCAACCCTCTTTGGCTATTTTTGAGACTGGCCTGGACCATGACCCTCCTATTTTATGCTTCCCACTATTGCTGGGATGAGAGGCGTGTGCCACCACACCCAGCTTTTTTACATTGAGATGGAATTCCAAAAACATTTTTGCCCAGGCTGGCCCCAAATTGTGATCCTCCCAAATCAAATACTGAAGAATACTTGTATGAACCACTGGCACCAGGCTTATTTATTTTTTTAAAAAATCACTTCATTGCACAGCTATGATTGAGTACTACTGTTATAATCCAGTGCTTCTTAAACTTTATTGTGTGTACAAATCATCTGGTGATCTGGTTAAAATGTAGATTGTGGGCTGATGATATTGCTCCGTGGTAAAGCACGTTTAGCACAATGGAGGACCTGGGTTCAATCCCTAGCACTTCCCCCCAAAAAAGTGTAAATTCCGATTAAACTGGTGTGGGACAGAAACTGAGATTAAGCATATCTTGAAACTATCAAGTGTTATAAATGCTGTTGGTCTATGGATCACATTTTGGGTAGCAAGGTTGTTAATGTGCTCTATTTCAGCATCAATAATGTCTAAGATAGATTTTGTGACAAATTATGATTTACAGTTACCCAATCAGATAAGTTGCTCAGTTTGAAGGTATGGCTTCTAATCAGCAAAGACAAGTCCTCATTCCTTGGGAAGGGAAGATGCGGGATAAATCCAGAAAAGGGTATCTGGATCCTTTCCTCTCCTGGGAATTCTTCTTTCTTTCTTTTTTTTTTTTTTGTTGGTGTACTGGGACTTGAACTCAGGGCCTCAGGCTTACTAGGCTGGCTAGGCAGGCATGCTACCACTTGAGCCACTCCAACAGCTCTCCTGGGGGTTCTTAAAAAGAGTTTTAAGAACCATCTAGAGAACTTAGACCAAACAGAAATCTATAGCAGGCAATTCCAAATTTATAGTGAGATGGAAAAAAAAGGGGATTAATATCAGAGCTAACACAGGACTGGTTCTATCCTAACTGATCTGGGACCACAGAGAAAATCATGTTTTCCTCATACTTTTCTGGTGTTACTCAGGGCTAGTTCAATTACTTTCCTGATCAGAAAACAGTCTAGCTGGGCACAGTGGCTCATGTCATAATTCTAGCTACTTGGGAGGTGGAAGTCAGGAGGATTGTGGTTTGAGGGCAGCCCATGCAAAAACTTTGTGACATTTTCAATCAATAAAAGGTGGGAGTCATCTCAGCTATATAGGAAGCACAAATAAGAGGATTGAGGTTCAGGCTGGCCCAGGCATAAATGTGAGACCCTATTAGAAAAATACTCAAAGCAAAAAAGGCTGGGGGTATGGCTCAAATGGCAGAACACATGCCTTGAGTTCAGACCCCAGTACCACCCTCCCCAAAAAAGAAAGAAAACAACCACTGCGCTTTTGCAAAATTGAATGTTACACATTTCTCCTGTTATTGTTTCTATCACAAATAGTTTTTTTTTTTTTTTTTTTTTGGCATTACTAGAGTTTGAACTCAGCCTCACACCTGAGCCACTCTGCCAGCCCTTTTTGTGCTGGGTATTTTTCGAGCTAGGGTCTCAAGAACTTTGCCCAGGACTGGTCTAGAACCGGGATCCTCCTGATCGCTGCCTCCTGAGTAGCTAGGATTACTGGTGTGAGTCTCTGGCACCCGGATACCAGTTTTAAGGGCTCAATAGTATAGCACTTGCCTAGAATGCAGAAGGTCCTGGGTTTGATCCCCAACACCTGCAAACCACCCCCCAGTGGAACAAAAAACCCAAACAAAAGGAACCAAGCAAAACAAACAAAACCCCACCAAGGTCTATCAAATAAAAGGCTAAATGTATCAAACACTTTCTTGTGCAGATCTTTTCAAATATTAAAAATGAAAGAAAAAAGCTCTGGATAATGTTCTATTATTTTCTACATATAGGCATTTATTTTCAGAGCAATCTATAGCACTACAAGTTAAATTCATTTATTTTTAACCAAATAGATCATCCAAATACAAGACATCTAGTCAACAGACAGGGTGAAATCAAGCATATGGGAAATAGTACCTTCCTAGTGAGCCGACGTTTAATCTCTCGTTTCTCTGCCTGGCGATCAGCTTCATTTTTAGCTATAGTGGCCAGAAAACAAAGGATATTACTTCAAAATGGCAATGTGCATAATATAAAATACTTCAGTAATTATGTCACAAATATTTCTTTCAGTTTTATTTTTGGTGGGACTGGGGTTTGAACACAGGGCTTTGTGCTTACAAAGCAGGTCCTCTACTTGAACAACAATCCTCCCAAATAGCTAGGATTACAGGTGTGAGCCAGGGGTGCCCCAATTATTATAGATACTTCTTATCGGATTAAACCAGAATACTACCTTTGGGAATGGCTAATCAAGATGATTTTTTTTTCTTTTCTTTTTTTGTTTGTTTGTTTTTTAGGATGATTTTCTTGTTAGCTGATATAGTTACTTAATAGCAAGGGTCAACAAAGTATGGCACCAAATTTGGCCAGCTGCCTGTGTTTATTCTGCCCATGAGCAGTTCTTTACATTCTTAAACAGTTTTCTAACTGCTTACATAATCTCCATTTGCTTACTGGCCTACAAAACCCAAAATATTTACCATGTATTCTTGAAGAAAAAGTTTGCAGATTCTTGATCAAGAGTAACCACTAAGAGCTGGGCAAAGTGGCTCAAGTTTGTAATCATAGTCATTTGGGAGGTGGAAATCAGGAAGATTGCAGTTCAAGGCCAGCCCAGGCAAAAAGTGGGATCCTATCTCAAAAATAACCAGAACAAAAGAACTTGGAGACATGGCTCAAGTGGTAGAGAGCCTGCCTAGCAAGATTAAAGCCCTGAGTTCAAATCTCAGTACAGAACATACACACACAAAAAGTAATCCCTAAGAATGGACAATGGATATCACACCAAGTTTCATGTAATGTGTTTATAAAGGTTCTCACACTTTAAAACTCACTAGATGACTAAGCTGAGTATATCCAAATAGTACAGAGAGCGCAGGTCATAATGGGTTAGTGAGAAGCATGCCCACAAGCAACCCTACGGAAGCTTAAACCTTTTCATGAGGAGATCCTTTTGCCATCTCTGCACTAATCCCCTTTGTCTGTTTTTGTTCGCACAGTTCCTTGCCCAGGAGCACACTCGGGGTGTCTTTCCACACCTACTGCCTCCATTTTCATCCTCTACTTCCTTCTCCCATTTTCTCCCTCTTGGTCTCTTCTCTTCATCCCAGGCCCCTCTTTAACATCCATGCTCCAGAAGAGCTAACTTCCCAGGGGTGGTGAGGAAGGAAAACACTAGCAAGTTCAGCCAGTGGGATGGGATTTAAGACACAAGGACGCTGGGAATGCCAAAACAGAGATGATCTCTCCTCCAGGGGCTCAGGGTTCTACCTGAGGAGGGTACCACAAAGGACAAAGACATGGAGGGGCCTCAGGGGAGTATTATAGTCTCAAGAATCCCAGGGGTGCTTTGAGTGGTTAAGAGGAGTGAGGCTAGGGTCAAAGGGAGAGAATTCATGCTAGTGGTAGGGACTGACACGGCATGGAGTGGAAAACCAAAGGTGAAGGTCTGGGGAGATGGTTTCTGGCAATGTTAACCGAAGCAGAAGCAGCTGTGTGTGTATGTAGGTCCTAGAGACACATGCTGGGGTGAGGGCTGACATCTGTGGGAGCCCCAGACCTGAAAGTTTTTTTTTATTTTTTTTTGGTGCAGTACTGGGGCTTGAACTCAGGGCCTACAACCTTGAGCCACTCCACCAGCCCCTCTTCTGTGAAGACTTTTTTCGAGATAGGGTCTCAAGGAACTATTTGCCTGGGCTGGCTTTGAACTGTGATCCTCCTATTCTCTACCTCCTGAGTAGCTAGGATTATAGGCTGTTAAAGGGTTTTTTTTTAAGTGTAAATTTCAGTGTCAATTCTGCAAAACATATCAGTAGTACATCAGAATGCTATTTCAGAAAGTTAGTTATGTACACAGAGAACAAATTCAATACATGGTCTTATTTAGTGGCTACAGAGGTAAGAAAGTCTTAAGGGATGAAAACAACAGGAAAAATAGGAACTTGGGGACTTGCTTTGGGCTCTAGCCCTCAGATTCCATCAGAACAGGACTGTCTTATGCATACCCACTACGTTGGGTCCCTGAATACTAAGAAAATTTGGGTTATGTCTCCCATACACTGTCAAATTCCCAAGATACTGCCAGGATACTGTGAGAATATTAAAACAAAAAGTTTCTAGACTATCACAGTATACTAAAAAATACCATGATGGTATATTCCAAAGGAAGCTTGGGTGAACTTTCCTTCAGGGAAGTTCCTAGTGAAACACTCTCTACTTGATCCTTAAAGCAAATTTTTCTTCCTTTAGGTATATTAAAATGATAAACATAAGAACATCTGGACTCACGTTGTAGAATATTCCGTTGTTCTAGTTCTTCCGGTGTTGGTCTTTGACTCAGTCGCCTAAAAAGAAGATGCACAAGGATATTTATTACCCATGTGAAAACCTCCCAATCTTGATTCTAAGTTTTTGTTTGTTTGTCTTGCCATAGTTGGTTTTAGGCCTTAAACAAGTAAAAAATAAATAAATTTTCCAATGGTTATATTTCATTCCCTCCATTGATTGTTTATGAGGCAATTTTCACACTGGAAGTATAAATATAGAAATCACATTATAAAGAGGAATTATATATGCAGGATTCTAGTTCTAGCTCTGACATCAATACAAGCTATCACCACCACAAAGTTCAGTTAGACCCGGAGTATCCATGGGGCTGGTAGAGTGGCTCAAGCATTAAGAGCTCCTGCTTAGACCCTGACTATCCTCATCTACAAAGTGAAGGTGTGGACTGCACTGGTGGTTCCCACATGGATCTGCCCTTCAAAAACACAGAAGATTTAGTTAAAAACACAGATTCCTGGGCTGGGGGTGTGGCTCAAGTCATACAGAGCCTGCCTAGCAAGCACGAGGTCTTGAGTTCAAATACCAGCACCACCAAAATTCCCAGAAACTTGGGCTGTGGACATGACTCAAGTGGTAGTTTGTGTCTAGCATGCACAAGGCCCTGGGTTATATCTCCAGCAGCAGCAGCACAACCACCACCACAAAAAAAGTCCCCAGAAATTTATTATCTCAGCTCTAGAGGCAAGAGGTCCAAAATCAAGATGCTGGTAATACTGGTCTCCTTCTGGAAAATCTGGTCTATTCCATGGCTCTCTGTGAGCTGCTCCTGGTGGCTGCCAACAATTTTGGATTCTCCTTGGCTTAAAGATACATTCCAATTTCTGCCAGTGTCATCACGTAGTGATGTTCCTATTTGTGTCTGTGCCCAATTTCCTCCTTATAAGGACACCAGTCATGGGATTAGAGCCCACTTTAATTCAGAATAATTCCATCTTGAGTACATCAGAAAAGACCCTACCTCCAAATGAGGTCCCATTAACAGGTACTGGGAGTTAGGACTGGAATATACGTTTGTGAAGGACACAATTCTACCAGTTATAAACTCTATCTCATTTCCTCATGGCCATTTAGAATCTCACCCTCTATAACCTAATGTGAACACTGTCTGTTTTCTTAACTACGTATTCTATAAAATTTTACATAAACTAGGGTTGGCAGAATGGCTCAAGTGGTAGAGCTCCTGCCTAGCAAACATGAGGCCCTCAATTCAAACCCCAGTACCACCAAAAATAAAAAAGAAAAAAATATATACATATATAATATATTGCAAAAATATTATATAAAGTTTTTGTTTTTTAAATCTAAGTTCTTTCACTCAACATAATTATTGAAATCTACCAAGTTGTAACATTACAAATAGTTCATTCTGTACTGAGTACTATGTCACTGCATGAATATCCCACAAACTGTTAATCCATTTGCCTATCGATGAGTATTTGGGCTGTTTCCAGTTTTGGCTATTACAAATATCAGCGGATGGAGTAGCTGGATATTTACATCTACATTTAATTTTGAAAGAAACCATCAAATTGTTTTTCTAAAGTACTGTTTGACATTCCTATCAGTACTACATGAGAGTGTAGTGTCTCCTCATCCTCAGCAACTCTTGCTATTGCCAATCCTTAAACTTGGTTAGTTTTAGTCAGGTGTGGTAGTAAACGTCTGTAAACTTGCTTAAGAGGTTGAGGCAGGAATATGTCAGGTTTGAGGACAAATTCCACAATAGCCTGGGCTACATAGTGAGATCCTGTCTCAAAAACGAGATCCAAGGCCAGTCAGGCAAATAGTTTGAGAAAGCCCATCTCCAAAAAAACCAGAGCAAAAATGGAGTGGAGGTGTTGAGGAGGGGGAGAAAGAGGTTTATGCGTGATGACTAATTTCTACAGAGCTTTTGAACAACATTGTGTTTATACTTAACAATACTGTATTATATTCCTAAAAATCTGTTAAGAGTCTTGTGGAGTGACTCAAGTGGAAGGGAGCTTACCTAGCAAACATGAGGCCCTGAGTTAAAACCCTAGTACCACCAAAAACAGAAGAAAAAAAAAAATCTGTCAAGAAAGATAAGATCACATGTTAAGTATTCTTACCAAAACAGAATAGTCTTCCCTTATCCTCAAACCTCAGGTAGTACAAAATTCTATGTACTTGGAGACAGGGTCTCCGTATGTAGGTCCAGGCTGTGCTTGAATGTGTAATCCTGTGTCTGCTTCTGGAGTGCTAGAATTACAGGCATGAGTCAACATGTCAACTATTTTTAATTTTTTGAGGAGCTTTCATAGTTGTTTTGCATATGGGCTGTACAATTTTGCCTTCCTACCAACAGTTTATATGGGTTGCAATTTCTTCATATCCTTGCCAACACTTGGGCTTTTGTTTTGTAGGTAACAGCCATCCTAACAGGTGTGAGGTTGATTTTGTTTCCTTGATGACTAATGATGCTGAGCACATTTTCATAGATCTGCTGTCATATGCATGTGTGTGTTCTTCATGAGGTTTTAACTTGCATTTCCCTAATAGCTAAAGATGTTAAGTATCTTTCCATGTGGCTCATTCACCATTGTATGCCTTTTGGTGATGTGTCTGTTTGTATCTTCTGGCTTTCGTTTTTTTTTCTTTTTTATTGGTGGTGCTTAGGATTGAACACATGGCTTCATGCATGTTAGGTAAGATCTCTACCCATTGAGCTTGTTTCCAGCCCTGTTTGTTTGTTTTCAGATAGGATTTCACTATGTATATTCCAAGCGGACTTCCAATTCTTGATATTCCTACCTCAGCCTTCCTAGTGCTAGATTACAGGTGTATATACTTCCATACCCAGTATTTGTGTGTGTGTGTGTGTGTGTGTGTGTGGTACTGGAGGTTGAATTCAGGATCATGTGCTTGCGAGGGAGGCGCTTTTCCGCTTGAGCCACTCCACCAGCCTTTTCTGTGATGAGCAATTTTTTTTTTTTAATTTGATGAGTACTTTTGAGATAGGGAGACTATTTGCTGGCTTGCTTTGAACCCTCCTGATCTCAGTCTCCTGAGTAGCTAGGATTACAGGTATGAGTCACCAGCACCCAGTTTGCTTTGATTATTTTTGAGATAGGGTCTCACTTTATGCCTGGGCTGGCCTGGTCCATGATCTTCCTATTTATGTTTTGTGTTTAACTGGAATGTCGGGTGCACACCACTGAATCCAGCTTTTATTAGTTGAGATGGGGGTCCTGCGATATTTTTTCTCCAGCTAACCTCCAACCTTAATCCTCCTGATCTCTCTCCCCAGTAGCTAGGATTATAAGCTTGAACCATTACACCTGGCCTTTTTTAAAATTCAGGTTTGAAAATTCTTCATATTCTAGATAGAGTATCTCTATCAGATATGTGATTTGCAAAATATCCCTCTATTCTGTGGTTTGTTTGTTTGTAGTACTTAGGGATTGAACTTGGCCTTAGGTAAGTGCTCTACCACTGAGATACCTACATTCCTAGCTCTAAGGTCTTCTTCATTCTTAACTAATTCCAAATCCTGATGTTTTCTTGCTGATACGTTGAGAAGGCCATAGTTCTGCACAACTGCCATCTTGGCTAATGATAGTTACAAATTCTTGGCAACTAGATTCCAAAGGAAGGGAAGAGGGTACAGTTCAGTTTGTTTCTCTAGACTTCTGGATCACCTATTCACAAAATCAAGGAATAAATTATCGGATTAATAACAAATGTAATTTGCCACTCCTAAGAAAGGTAAGAGGGTCAGGCTGGTGGCTCATGCCTGTAATCCTAGCTACTCAGGAGGATCAAGGTTCGAAGCCAGGCCAGGCAAATAATTCTCAAGATACTATCTCGAAAAAACCTAACACACACACACACACACACACACACACACACACACACACACACACACACACACACACACGGCTGGTGGAGTAGCTAAAGGTGTAGACTGAGTTCAAACCCCAGTATGGTGAAAAAAAGAAAAAAAAAAAAAAAGCTGAAAAGACATGAGATCTGGCAGAAGCCATAGTAGTCACCCTTTTCCTGAGGCTGATTAGATTGAGCAAGGCCCTGTTGTTTCTGAACTCTCTAATAAAGGTATGTAATACTGGGAATCAAGCAATAACAACGCTGTCCTTCATACGAAGTGGATGATAGTCTTCCATTAGTTGGAGTAGTGGAGATAATTTTACCATGAAAAGCAATAATTTAGGAGGAATATATGTGACCACAAATACTGACTATTTAATAATTTACCACAAAAATGGAGATGGGGGCCAAGCACCAGTGGCTTACGCCTGCAATCCTAATTACTCGGATGCAGAGATCAGGAGGATTGGGGTTTGAAGCCAGCCTAGGCAAATAGTTTATGAGACCTTATCTTAAAAATACTCAACACAAAAAGGCTCGTAGAGTGGCTTGAGTGGTAGAGCACTTGCCTAGCAAACATGAGGCCCTGATTTCAAACCCCAGTACTGCCAAAAAAAAAAAAAAAACAACAAAAAAACCCAACAAACAAACAAAAAAAGACTTTTACTTAGAACAATGGTTCTCAAAGTGGTCCCAAGACCAGCAAGAAACAGAAACTATAAGGCTCCACTTCAAGGCTAAAAAAATCTGGGTGTGGAAACCACTTTTTTTTTTCTTTTGGTGGGGACTGGGGTTTGAACTTCGGGCTTCACACTTGCAAGGCAGGCACTCTACCACTTGAGCCAAGCCTCTAGTCCCCCTCCCCCTACCTTTTTTTTTTTTTTTTTTTTTTTAAAGACTGCCTAAAGTGGTAGAGTGCCTCCCTAGCAAGCGTGAGGCTGGGAATTCAAATCCCAGTACAACCAAAAAGTAGTACCAAAAAGTAGAAGTCTGTCAGGTGATTCAGGTCTGCCATATGAATGCTAAAGCTTGAGGATGTCTAACTTAGAGTAGCCCAAAATTAAAGGCAAATATTCAATAATAGGGTTATGATTCAATTAATTATACAATACCAACTCTTGGATAACATCTCCCAGCCCTATTTTTACTTTTTATTTCTTTTGGTACTGGGAACAGAACCTAGGACTTCGTGGACATGCTAGGAAGTGTTCTACCATTTCAGTCCTACCACCAGGCTGCCCATTTTTACATTTTTAAAGGTTGTTCAAAAAACAATAAATGACAAGGGCTAGGAGTATAGCTTTGTGGTAGAGTGTTTGCCTAGTACGTCCAAGACCCTGGGTTCCATCCTCAGCACTGCAAAAAGAAAAGAGACTGTAACTGGCAGGCAAGTCATAAAGTATTTATAATTTGGCCCTTTACAGAAAAAGTCTGTTAAACCTTGGTTTATCAGTATGGGCTTATGAATGACTTTTTTTTTTTTTTTTTTTTTGGTGGTACTAAGGTTTGAGCTCAAAGCTTTGTGCCTGATAGGCAGATGATCTACCACTAATCACCCTGACAATTTTTAGCTGTAATTATCTAAATACAATATAATTAACATGTATTTATTTTTACTTAACCGTATACTAAATGCATTTGTAGGAACAGAAGAGATGCAACAGAATTAAAATTTATAGGTTAGACATTGATTAAAGAAGTTACTCCTACTTCTGTCTTTTCTATCTTCCTCAGAGCAATGAATAGCAGTTACTACTCTTATAAACTAGTTCTGTGTTCAACAGCAATTGTATCTTTAAGTTTCACATCATTATCAATTATACCGTTTCACAGTAAAGTTTACTCAATTCAGTAGAGCCCATAGATGTAGAGCAGGTAGCAGTCAAGTTCAGGTGAGCAAACGTTAGAGCTCCAAGAATTTAAAATACTAAGTAGACCCTTAGTACATTGCAAATTTTATTTTGATAAAAGAGAGGATTATTTTAGGTTTTTCTCAATAGTGACTAAAGCTATAGAAGTGTGTATTCCTGGAGTGGGGGCATGGTTCAAGTAGTAGAGCACCTGCCTAGCAAGTGCAAGACCCTGAGTACAAACCTGAGTACAGTTAAAAAAAAAAAAAAGCCTGTACTCAGGCATTGTGAATATTAATAGTGGACAAGACAGAAAAGTTCCCTGCTCTCATGGAGCAGAGGGAGGGGATGACATGGGATGAAGACAATTAAATGAGAATAGATGAAAATAAATAACCAAAATCCTATCATGAGGAAAAAATCAGACAAATTCAAATTTCAAAGTAAGTGGCCTACATTCTTTTATTTATTTATTTATTTATTGCAGTACTATGGCTTGAACTCAGGGCCTTCACCTTGAGCCACTCTACCAGCACTTTTTTGTGAAGAGTTTTTTGAGATAGGGTCTCATGAACTATTTGCTTGGGCTGGCTTCAAACTGTGATCCTCCTGATCTCTGCCTCCTGAATAGCAAGAATTATAGACATGAGCCACTGGCACCTGGCAAGTGGCCTACATTCTTAAAAAATGTCATAAAAGAAAACAAACAAATAAAACAGATTAAAGAAGACTGAAGAGATATGACAACTAAATATAACTTGTTATCTTAGACTGGAAGCCAGCTTTGGAGTAGTGATGGGGAACTTGCTATTAAAGATATTACTGGGAAATGGATGCAGTGATACACACCTGTAATACCAATGCTAGGGAGGCTGAGGCAGGAAGATTGTAAGTTGAAAGCCAACCTGGGCTATACTACATGAGCCTGTCTCAAAAAAACATACAAATTCCAAAACTGAAACTGACATGAGATGACTTGGTGAAATTAAATATGGAAGCATAGCAGAGAAAAGTATTATATTGATGTTAAATTTCTTTTTTTTTTCCCCCTGGTACTGGGGTTTGAACTCAGGGCCTACACCTTGAGCCACTCCATCAGCCCTTTTTTTTGTGATCGATCCTCCTGATCTCTGCCTCCTGAGTAACTAAGATTACAGGTGTGAGCCACCGGCACCCACCCAGAGATGTTCAATTTCTTTAACTTGCTAAATTTGCTGTGGATATGATAAGAGAATGTTCTTCTTCACAGATTACACACTGAAGCACTTAGGAGTAAAGAATCACAATATCTTTAATTCTCATTCTCATTCTCTCTCTTTCTCCCGCTCTCTCTCTCCCTAAGGTCTTACTATATAGCCTGGGCTGGTCTCAAATTCACAATCTTCCTGCCTCACCTCTGAAGCACTGGCTTGTAATTTATTCTCAAATAGATCAGGAAAAAAAAAAAAAGGAATGTATATAGAGAGTGAGCACAATTATTAATAAAGCAAACATAGAAATGTTAGCACTCTACTAGGTGAAGGGAATATATTCTCACAACTCTTCTGAAATTTCAATTTAAGAATTTGTAATCTTAGCTACCTATGAGGCTGGTTTAAGGCCAGTTTGGGCAAATAGTTCACAAGACCCCATCTCCAAAAAATAACCAGAGCAAAAAGGACTGGAGGTGTGGCTTACGGGGTAGAATGCCTCTTTTGCAAGCATGGGTAAGTTCAAACCCCCAGCCCCACCAAAAAAAGAGAAAAAGGATAAATAGCCACGTGCCGGTGGTTCACACCTTAATCCTAGCTACTTGGGAGCCTGAGATCAGGAGGACCATGGTTCAAGGCTAGCCTGGGCAAATAGTTTTTGAGACCCGGTCCCCAAAATAACCAGTGCAAAATGAACTGCTGAGGCTCAAATAGTAGAGCACCTGCTTTGCAAGCATGAAACCCTGAGTTCAAACCCCAGCCCACCAAAACAAAAACAAAAAAAAGATAAATACTCAACCACAAGGTAAGCGTGTAACATACATACCAGCACAATCAAAGCAAATCCAGCTAATCTAAGCAAAGGCCTACCGGATCAGTGTGTTCCCAATCTGATGCCGTATTTCATTCCACTCCTCCTTGCTTTTATGAGGCCAAGAATTCAAGTTCAACTCTGGTTCACTGGATCTGTGGCTCAACTTCATTGCTAGTGTGTCCTTCCTCTTCACTTTGTTCGCCAAAGCACCTTTACACAACAGGAAGAAAAAAAATGTAGAAGCAAGAGCCAAAGGTTCAACCTCACATGGACCTAGGCAAGAGTCTGAGTGACTATAACTCTCAAGATTCTCACTTGGCTTCAAATGATTGAGCCAAAATTGTTGCTTAGCTCAAGTGGTGGAGCACTTATTCAGCAAACACTGAGGTCCTGGATTGAACCTTAGTGTTGGGGGAAAAAAAAATCTACTTAAAACACACAGGAAGGAGTAAAGCAGAAGATATCCAAAAATCTTTTCAGGCAGATGGGCTCAGATAGGCAAAAAGATACCTTCTCTTTTCTACCAGCCCTGTAATTTTCCTCCTTAATAAGAGTTGCTACAGGAGAGCTCAAGGTATGGAACAGTCCTCTGAATTAAAATGTAAAAGCGGTCATATTAACACAATTTACCCTCCATCCAGCCCCTCTGCCCTCTCCCTTCCTTTCTTTGAGATGGTGACTTTCTATGCTACCAGGCTGGCCTTGAACTCCTGATCCTTTGCCTTAGTCTCCCTAGTAGCTGAGACAAGTTGCATGCACCACTGCACTTGGCTAATGTATGGGGTGTTTTCTTTTTGTTTTGTGGTATTGAGATTTGAACTCAGGGCCTCACACAGGCACTGTAACAATGAGCCACACCTCCAATCCAAGCTAACAAGTGATTTTAAAGCGGCTTTCCCACTTTAATGACACAGGATTCTATTATTCTGACATAAACATGTTTTATATTTCCCCTATAAGTTAATTATATTGGAGGAAAACACTACTTTCATCTGTTCCACTAAACTAATGTACCAGTTTTTCTCCACTCCATATTATTTGGTGCTGGAGACTGAATCTAGGGCCCTGTGCATTCTAAGCACATGCTCTGGGACTGAACTGGGTGAGCAGTTTTTCAAATAAAAAAATAAACAAAAATTTGAATGACCCAATCTTTGTGGCTCCCTCTTATGACTTACTTTAACATAGGGATAATAGCAGGGAGAAGGAGTCCTTTACAGTGGTTTCTAATAACAGCTAGATGACTTGATGGAAGAGGCTATCTATTTACATCCATCTTAAACTTGCTAAGACCAGAAAGTAGCTTTATCTTTAACAGACTTTTCTTTTGCTTTTCCCTTCCTTTCTTACTCTGATGGCTTTCATCTTCGTCCTCTTCATCTCGGTATTGAATGGGACCCTCTGAATCTGAGTCACTCTCCTTCTCTTCCTCTTCCTCTTGCAGACACTGTGGTAGTTTAGGAATGACTGAGGTAGATGTCACATCTTCAACAAATGCCAAAGGGCAGGTTTGCTCCTCTTCTTCTTCATCGTCTGGACTAACAAATTAACACAATTAATTATCTTTTCAGAGACAACAGGGATTTGCAAGACAAAGCACTGAAATATCTATGGAAAAGTCCACTAACAAAGTAATTTAAATTCCTCCCTTAACTTTTACAATCTTTTTAGCACCTATCAATCTAATGGGCTCTGGGTTCAAATCTAGAGCTGTTTTTTGGTACCTTCCAATATTTGTCTAATTTCATTCTCACAGATATAACTCTCATTTACAGATGACATAATTAAAACACAGAAAGGCTAAGTAAACCTCTACACAGGAGTGGTAAAGCTACGATTTGAATCCAGGAATATGTTACTACAAGGCAAAGGCTCTTAAGCATCACTGCTACTTTTGTATCATATAAAACTAGTGGTTTTAATTTTTATGTTCATAAGTGTGTGATTTTTATGTCATCATGGAAATCTTCATTTAAAAAAATAACTAGAAAGTTACAGAAATCGGTAGGGTAAATAGTCCGAACTCTAGAACTTCTCCTTTTGGCAGAATATTCTTTGTACTTTAAATTTACTAACATTTTCAAAGTATATTTTTCCAAATGGGAAACAGAGTAAAGAGAAAGAAACCAGAGGCAAGTTTTAAAGGCACTCACACTTTCAGCATTTCAATAGTGATGGGAAGTGACCTGGTCCGACCCAGGGTATTACTGTCCTCAGAAAAGTTGTCACTGTTCTCGAAGAGCAATGAATGAGCTCTATGAGAGCCCTCCAAGGGAGGAGTCATGGGAAGGGGACTAGTCAGGGCTTGCTGAATTCGAATATGCAATGGGACTGGGGGAAGCCTAGAGGGTATATGGGGCTCCCCAAAACTCTGGTCCAATATCTTCTTGGGGACTTCCTCTTTCTGATCTTCCTTCTGGGGAACCTCATGGAGTAGATCTGAAGAAGGTAAAAACTCAACCTCTGGCACAACTTGAAGAAAAGTCTTAGCAAGGAATGGAGGAGACTGAGGGGGCTCTGGAGGTCTGTGAGTAGGCAGTGGGGGTGATGGGGAGGAAGGTGGGATCATCAGCAGTGGTTCAGAGCCCACAGAGCACATGTTCCTCTCTCTTTGATCGCTCGGTGCTTTTGTGGTGATGGCAACAGCAGACTCTGAGGAGGGCACCAAGGTTGAAGGAATGCCTCTCTTAGGTGGTAAGGGTGGGGATGGCTTTGATAACAATGTGCCACTGTTTATTGCTTGAGACAGTTCAGCTGGAAAAGAGAGAGGAACACCTTAATTTAATATTGCTTTACAATGCATTGAGGGGCCAGCCCAGGACTAAAATCAGAGTTGAGTTCAGTCTTAATCTTTGAGGCAAATTATATAATTTCATGTCTTTGCCATTCCCTATATATCTCATCCTGAAATAAAGTTAATATTTAGTACAGAGAAGGACTAATGAATAGGTGTAGGAAAACTGATGAGTATCTTATTTCATCAGTACGATAACTTTATGTTGATATAGATAAAGTTAATATGAATAGACAGCAAAAAAGCTGAAAGTGGTCAGGTGTTGGGTAGCTCACACCTGTAGCTACTTGGGAGGCTGAGAATCGGAGGACTGCAGTTCCAGGCCATCCCAAGCAAAGTTTGTGAGACCTGATTTCCAAAACAACCAGACCAAAATGGACTGGAAGAGTGGCTCAAGAAGTAAAGTGCTTGCTTTCAAAGTGTGAAGCCCTGAGTTCAAACTCCAGTCCTACTAAAAATAGATAAATAAATAAATAAAAGCTGAAAGTTCTTCTGTACAAGAAATTTAAGACTGGGAGGGGGGTTGTGGCTCAAGTGGTAGAGCACTTGCTTGTTCGTTCAATCCCTAGAACCACAAGAAAAAAATAAATTAGGAAGAAAAAGAAAAATAAACATTCAGATTGTAATTTAAGAAAAAAATCAAGCATTTTTACCATATGCTGATAATGATGCCTAGATATATTAGCTTTGTATTATAAAACTGTCAATAAAATTGAGTAAAAATAGTCAATAAATCTTGAATATTTATAGCAAATGCAAAGCCCTTTGAAGAAATTAAAGTGCTTTTCTATCCTTCACGTCAGATTTTCCTAAGGTGACAGGAGAAATTTTTCAGAAAGAAAACTGGAGACCACAGACATTACGTAATTTGCCCAAAAGCCTACAACAAACTGGCAGAGACTCGGCTAGTATCCAGTTTTTGATTACTAGACTATTATTCCCATCTCTGGATCTCACTTCTCTGACCTTCATTTGTGCACATACCTCTTATGGTTCCTTTGTGCTCATGTTCACTTCCTGTTACAATATGGGCTCCTTGATGGCAGAGCAACCCTTACCTCCACAATCATATCCACAGGGCTGTGCAGATTGTTTGGTACATAGAATATCCCCAATATATGTTCTTAGATGAGATACCCTCACTTTGAATCACAACAGTATATATCCCTATTGATGTTCCCAAAGCCTATAATGACTCAGACATTGACACAGCAGTTACTTCTTTGGATTGCTCCAAATGATATTTAAGAAGTGGATCACAGGACTCAGAGCATGACTCAAGTGGTAGGAGGCTTACTTGGTATTTGTGAGGCCCTGGGTTCAATCTCCAGTACCACAAAAAATAAAATTAAAAAAAAAGTGATCATCACATAGAAACTAACCTTCAAAAATAATTAGAGAAGTTCTCTTGACCATCAACCTCTAACCATCTAATAAATCCTTTATTTTAGTCCACCTAGTGTTCTCAAATGGTCTCATAAGCTTCCCCAAAATAAAATTTTACTTGCCCCAAATCTTATTCCATCAGGGGACATCCAAAGTAAAAGGTTAGCTAATCTTGGGTTTTAATATCATCTGTCATAGGTAAATTTTAAAAGGACATACTAGAAAAACACTGCATACATACACACAAAAAAGATAAATTTCAGGATCAATGAAAAGAGACATTTTTGGGGAAGTCTGGATTTTTGCCACCTCTCTAAAAATAGCAGTTAGCTATCCCATCTACAAGAAAACTCAACCCTAATAAGACTAGTTGAGTATTTAACTTTTAAATTGACAAGGTAAGTTGCCTTTGGTAACCTAGGAAGGCATATACATCAAGCTCTCAAGAAAGTGAACACCAGGTATATACCCTGTACCCAATCAGCAGCATCAACTATTGGTTGTAGTTTTTTTTTTTTTTTTGGTAGTACTGGGGTTTGAACTCAGGGCCTTGAGCATACTAGGCAGGCACATTACTATTTGAGAGTCTCACATGCCCAGCCCTGATTGTAGTTCTGTGACAAAGATTCCAGGTGTTCCTGGGATAGGTTGTGAATTCCCTTCACCTGCTCAACTATCGGTAGTGGTCCTTCCTTAGTCCTGGTACTTCATGGTATGTCTACGAGAAGATAGCAGTACTTCTCAAGCAGTGGTTTCCAAACTTTTGGAATTTAAGGACCAATATAATTCTTCTAAAAAATTCTTTTTTTGGCCAGGCACCGGTGGCTCTCGCCTGTAATCCTAGCTACTCAGAAGGCAGAGATTAGGAGGATCGTGGTTTGAAGCCAGCTTAGGCAAATAGTTTGAGAGACCCTATCTTGAAAATACCCTTCACATAAAAGGGCCGGTAGTGTGGCTCAAGGTGTAGGACCTGAGTTTAAGTACTACAAAAAAAAAAAAAAATTCTTGTTTTGGCAGTACTGGGGGATTGAATTCAGGGACTCCCTCATGCCTGCTAGGCAATCACATTATCACTTGGGGCTACTCTGCCAGCTCCCAACTAAAAAAAATTCTTGACCAACCTCAAGCTGTCATTTTTTTCCTTATTTTTATTTACTTATTTTTTGTTTCAAGTTGTCATTTTTAAAGATTTCCAAATGAGGACTGAAATTAAGTTAACCATTTATGATCGCAATCCTCTTGTGAAAGAACTGCCATTTTGGTGGAGTATGTGCCCGAGGGGAGGGTCCACAGTGGCAGTAGGGGCAGGAAAAAAAAAGAAATGTCATTTTTGCACCAAAGAATAAGAAAGGTCATAGTTTCAGAAGAAGATTTAGTCCTTCAAATGAAATCTGTTTAAGTTTAATAAAAATTCTGTGACTGTCCTATTTTTCTGTTGCTGAGTACCCATCATGGACTGATGTTGGTTCTTCAGTCTCAAATCCTGCTGCTGTGGGCTACTTAGCTAAGGCTGGGAGTGGCCGCTAAAGTTTAGCTCAAGCTACTGTTATAGCTACCTGTTGCTATAACCTGAAAAGGGCGGAAGAACCACTGGTGTAACAAACAGCCCTCAACATGTGGTCTCTGGTCTACATCCTCCTCCTCACCTGTGACTCCATTACAAATGTAGACTCTCAGGCCCTATCTTGGACTTACTGTAACCAGAAACTGGAGGGGGTTGGATTGTGGCTCAAGTGGAAGAGCACTTGCCTAGAAAGTGCAAAGCTCTAAATTCAAGCCCCAATACCAAAATCACCACCACCATCACCAAAAGCCCAGAACTCTAGGAACAGGGCACAGCCATCTGCATTTTGCTAAGCCTAATGGTGATCCTGATGAGCACATCAGTCTTGACACCAGTATAGATAACAGAGGTTTGGACCTGAGAGCAGAGCTTCTGTCTCTCACTGACTATAACCTTGTCATAACATCTTCATGTTATAATTGCCCTATCTATACAGATAAAATCGGTTTCCTACAGCAAAAGGTGGTTTTGAAAATAAGTACATGCAAGCTCCTCATGTTCCTCAGAGAGAAGTCAACATGACATTAACCACCCAAAGTAGTGATAACAATAATAATCTTCATCCTGTTATCAAGCTACTCCAACCTGTCATATAATATATTCTAAGCCTGTTTTTCAGGTTTAGTTACTCCACCCAACTTGGGGGTATTAGATTTTTAATGAGTGTATTTTTTATTCATTACTCACTCAATAACAAGAACTTTAAGCAGTAATAACCCGAAAAACTCCATTTTTCCTGAAAAACTCCATTTTATTGAATGCTGAAGCACTCATTAGCTTTCCCTCTTCTCTTCCTTTTCTTGAAAATTCCTCTAAGATGGCATCATTTATGTAAAGAAAATAGACCTAAATAAGACTTTAGGTAAATGCAAAAAATTTGCTAATGTATAAAAATGGACTGATCAACTTCCCTGCTTTCTTTACTACCACTTACTTTAATGTAAGAGTAGCATTCTTAACTCTCTCAAGATAAAACATGATTTTATCAGAACAATTTAAAGAACACCTTCTGCAGTTCTCATGAAAATACTATGTCAGGCACTGAGTCACGGTTATACAGGCATAAAATCATCTTTGTAATCTTCTAGACTTGTTTATGCTTAAGGAAGGCATTGGTAGATGAAAGTAGATTTTTTATTATAAACCCCAACTTTTTATTTGAGGTCTTGTCTGTCCCATTATAAGTTGTGGGATTTTTAAAATGTTCTCAGTAAGTGCCACAGATAATTCCATGCAAGTAAAATCTGTTATGGTTTTTACATATCCAATCCTCTAACTATATAGTGTATATAGTGTTCTGAAACACTACTACAGGAAAGTAGGCTTTAATCCTCCCAAATTGGATCTTAATTTTAGTGATGTTATATTCATTGTCATCTTTCTCATTTAAAAAACTTTTCTCTAAATGGAAGCTATTTAAAGGGACAAGATATGGAAAACTATTTCATAGATCAAGTCAATATTGAGTTACTTATTCAATAAAATAATCTTCTAAAACTAAAACAACCCCAAAACACAAAAGCCCGAAGACTTACCAATGACAGGTATGCTATTTCTGTGAGCTGGTTTAGGGGGAGGAACTGGGGGCTGCTTGGCAGGGACCATATGAGTAAGGCTCGGGGTAGCAGTAGTGTTAGTGCTGGCAGAAGCAGCAGGCACAGTCCTTGGTGCTGGGGAAGGGGTGACAAAGGAATTAACAGTCTTTGCTAGGTTTGTGGCAGCAGTGGTGGCAGCAGGTGCTATGGTGGTAGAGGAGGCGGAGGTGGAAGAGATGGACCTTGCCATGCTGCCAGAAGTAACATCCTTTGCTTGCCCTTCACTTGCTTCATGAGAAGAGGATAAGGGTCTTTTTGGGGGGAGTAAAGGTTGTTTGGGTACATTCTCAGAAACAGACTCTGCTTCAGAATTAGGCCAGCTTCCAGTTGAGCCTGTGTAATAGAAGATATGATTTAAAAGGGAAGACAGAATAACGAGAGACTGAAAAAGCTAATATAGCTATGAATTAATGGTCAACTGCACAGATTATTTAATTTATAGTTCAGGTTATTGACTATAATTCACAACATTTGCCACCCTCAAGATACTTAAAAGACTGTCAGTAAAAGAAGCTCAATGAAAGGCTCATTACAGTAGTGATCTTCATACAAGAGCCAGGCTACTGAGGAGGTGCACCAAAATTTCTTGGGGAGGGCTGGAGGCATAGCTCAAGTAGTAGATTATCTGTCTAACAAGTGTAGTGCAAGGTCCTGAATTCAAACCCCAGTGCTGCTGGGGAAGTACCTTGAGTGGTAGGTAAAGCAGCTGTCTAGCTGGTGGCTCAGACCTGTACTCTTAGCTACTTGGGAGTCAGAGATCAGGAGAATCATGGTTTGAAGCCAGCCCGGGCAAACAGTTCTCCAGACACTATCTTGAAAAGACCCAACACAAAAAAGGGTTGGTGGAATGGCTCACGTGGTAGAGTTCTTGCCTAGCAAATGTGAGGCCCAGAGTTCAAACCCCACTATAGATAAACTCCAGTATTGTCACCCAAAAAAAGAAAAAAAAAATTTTCACTTGGGTACAGCAAAAGGAGTATGGGAAGTCCTACAGTACCTACCTAGAAAACACAAGGCCCTGAAGTCAAACCAGAACCAAAAGAAAACAAAAAGAGAGTATCTTACAATAAAACACATTACCAAAAAAAAAATCCTACAGGAAGCGATATTTAACATTCTTTTCCTATTTAAGAATCACAAATTTAGCTGGAGGAGTGGTTTAAGAGGCAGAGTGACTGCCCAGCAAGTGTGAGGTCTTGAGTTCATACCCCATTGCTGGCCCCTCACCCCCAAAACAAGACCACAAGAATCACAAATTTAGAGTGCTGCTTTGCAAGCGTAAAGCCCAGAGTTCAAACCCCAGTCCAACCAAATAAAAAACAACAGCAACAAAAAACCCCCAAAACAACAAAAACTCCACAAATTTAGGTATTTTGTGAATGCAAAAATGAGAGGTTTGAGGATTCCACTTAAAGTTGCTAGTAGGTAATTAGTTTCTAAAGAACATAAATTTCCCTGGATTTTATTTCTTCCTATTCTCTTATAACCCTGAGGTAAATGAGAATGAATGGTCCATGGCTTTTAAACCCAAAAATCTAGTCTTAGCCAGGTATAGTGCAAATGCCTATCACCCCAGCACCAGGGAGGCTGAAGAAGAAAGATCATAAGTCTAAGATCAGCCTGGCTACAGAGTGAGACCTAGTCTCAAACAAACAAACAAACAAATATATAAATAAAAATTTAAAAAGTAAAAAGTAACAAACAAACCAGTATTACCTAGTTGTTTCTTTGGGTCCTCCTCATCTGTAATAGGATCCCTAAGACTTGATATTCTTACTGGCTCTTCTTCTATTGGGACTGGACTAGATGATCTGGTACTCCCTATGTGGGTGGTATGGCCATTCTTTAACATAGCATGGCTCAACTTCCCTGGATCCTCACCACCTGCAAAAAGAAAAAGGAAGAGGTAACTGATGGCACTGACATGGTCAGACAGGGAGAAGAGCTGGTGGTGTCTAACCTGTCCTATCCTTTTGCCTCCTTCTTCCTGTTTTAGCTTATTATTTAGATCTAGATTATCTGGATTCTTCCAGTAATAATGGAAATAAGTAATTTCTTTTTCCAATAAACAATGTTATTGCCTATCATATTCCAAATACCTTATTACATGAATAAGATGAATATCACAAACTTATTATATGTAAGTAATTACAATGTTAAATGTTAAGAGCTATACTGAGTGAAGGGCTATGGTAAGGAATGAAGAAAACAACTATGGAGTAGGAATTTGTTTGGTAAAGCTTCATAGAAAGTGGCATCTAAACTGGACTCTACAAGAAGTGCAGAAGCCTACCACACCAGCGTGGTAGTACCACTTATGTGGTAGGCTTCTTTAAAAGAAGCCTTCTTATATATAAGGGTGTGAAATCATATATAGAGGACTGGCAGTTAATGTGGTCTGGGAGGAGAATAGATGTACATAAGAAACAGTTACAGGTAGAATGAGGAAGCCAAGTAAGAACCAGGCTATGAGGGATCCAAGCATCATGTAAAGGAGCTGAAAATTAATTCTATAGGAATCAAGAATCCAAAGAATTGGAAGTAGTACAAGGGCATGATCTGTTTTTTTTTTTTTTTTTTGCGGTATTAGGCCTACACCTTGAGCCACTCCACCCTTTATTTTTTATTTTTGTGAAGGGTTTTTTTGAGATAGGGTCTCTTGGAACTATCTGCCTGGGCTGCCTTCAAACCATAATTCTCCTGATCTCTGCCTCCTGAATAGCTAGGATTACAGGTGTGAGCCACCAGCACACAGCAATCTGATCTATCTTACTGAAGTTTAGCTCTGAAAGTTCTGAGGATGGATTGACAATAGACAGGAAGTGGTTGGGACAGGGAAAACAATAATAAGCTGATCCAATGTACATGACAGATAGCAATGGGTGACTGAGGGCAGTAGAAGTGGAGAGCAAAGAGTGGAACTAATGGACAGATCAAGGGTAAACATGACATACATGACAATTTCTTACAGACCAACTGAAAGAATGATCACTAGGCTGGAAGCTGTGGAAAAACCTGTAATGACCACCCACTGTTGTGAAAATTGTAGATGAAATTCCTTCACTTAGCAATTAGACAAACATTCCCAGTTCCTAGACTCTTTTGGAAGACAAAGCTGAAAATACTGAACTGAGAGACTAAAAGCACCGTCTCATCTCCTAGTGTCATGAGAACTGGAGCTAGTTATTTTTCTCTTCTTTACTTCCTATAGTGAGATACTTTCAGTAATATCATTATCAAATGTCTCTTGACATTTTATTGAGTTAGTCCATTGAGTTCTTACAGACAAGTCCTTCTCACCCTGACCAATCACCATTACCTCTTACTAGGAGATTAGAGAGTGTAATTCTTCAGGCAGTCTCAACAGGAGGTGGTGTTTAAGCTAAAAATACTAAAGCGTCTAAGGCAATAAGGAGTAAGTGCAAATGTACTTCTAATGCTAAACTGATTTAACAACCACTTTTTATTTTTAAAATGGAGGGAGCAAGATGACAAAAGCTATGCAAAAGTAGTAAGTTGCTACTTAATGAAATGAAATACAATCAATGTATGGTATTAGAGTTTTACAGTTACAATAAAACTGCTTCATAAAAGTCATAGACTGGACAAAGTCCTGACATTATTAAACCATCAATAAGTGTTGAAATATCAAAACAAGATCTTGGTGACAAAAAGAAGATCAGGGCAACAGTATGGACATAGAGACAAAGTTAATCAAACAAAGGAAGTAACAGCCACTACTGCAGCTGGCACAAAGCTGAGGATGTGCAGAGACACAGAAATGTTTGCCCAAGGATCCTTTACCAGACATTCTAGTTTAGGATTAAAAACCTAAGCCACACACCTGGAAAAGAAGAGTGAACTTACAGCATAACTTTAGAAATATCAAAACAGAGGAAAAAAAAATCAAAGGCCTAGTTAGACCCAATCAAAGCCAAGTGCACAGAGACAGGCATATGCTATTTATGTGAAACTCACCCTGCTCAGGGTCTTCCAACAGAACCCCTCTTTTAACCAGCTCTTCTCTTGGTTTTCGCATAGATATTTTTCGCTCTAAAACTAACATTGAATTGGAAAACAGCACTCAGAAATATGTCACTTGAAAGGTCAACATTATTCTTAGCATTTTAAATCCATAGGTAAAAATATAAAGTTGTTCAAATTTCTTGTATGCCTATGAAAGAAGAGAAACTAAAGGAAAACTAACTTCAGATATAAAAAGTTATTTTCTGAGACTGAGGATGTAGGTCAGGGGTAGAATGCTTACCTATCATATTTGAGGTCCTGGGCTCCATCCCCAGCAATGAAAACAAAAAACAAACAACAAACCCCTTAATTTCTTTTATAGCCTTTGCTATTTGGGAAAGTATTATTTCCAGAGGGAGGCATAACTGTAGTTTAGCTGAAATTTCAGTAATAAAGGTTTTATGAATAAACTTTGTGTTAATGGAAAGTGGGCAAAGTAGAAAAGAAGCATCTTATATCTGCTACATTGCAGAATTTGTTTTTTTGGCAGTATTATGAAGTCAGGGCCTTGTACTTGCTAGGCATGCACTCTACCACTTGAGCCACTCCACCAGCCCTTTTATTTTGTTGTTGGATATTTTTGAGATAGAGTCTTGTGAATTATTTGCCTTGGCTGGCTTTGAACCATGCTCCTCCAGATCTCTGCTCCTGAATAGCTTGGATTATAGATGTGACCACCGGTGCTCAGCACCATTAAATAGATTTTTGATGGAACTGAGGTTTGAATTCAGGGCTTTGCACTTGCAAAACAGGCATTCTACTGCTTCAGTCAACACCTCTGGTCCATTTTACTCTGGCTATTTTTGCAATGGGGTTTCAGGAATTATGTCCCCCCAGCTGGCCTATAATGCAATCCTCCTGATCTCAGTTTCCCAAGTACTAAGATTGGGAGCTGGGGGCATGGTTCAAGTGGTAGAGTGACTGTCTAGCAAGTGCAAGGCCCTGAGTTCAAGCCCCAGAACCACCAAAAAAAACCAAAAAAAAGCAACCAAGAAGCTAAGATTACAGGTGCGAGCCACCAACACCCAGCTTTAAAAAAAAAAAAAAAAAAAATGAGACAGGCTCATGCTACATAACCCAGCCTACTGTTTAACCCAAGATTCTCCTGCTCTGCCTTCTGAGTGCTGGGATTAGAAGAGTGTACTGAGAGTACAACATATACCACTGTGCCCAGCTCAACCACTGAACAGATTTTAATCCCATCAAAATATAAACCTAGGAATGAGGCTATCAAATATAAGGCTCAGAGAATGACTATCTGTTTAAATTCTAAAATATTCAATTCTTCAAGTAGGGGGCTAGAGCTTGGGAAGAGATGAAAAAGGTGCTTCTAAAGTAGGGAATTCTGTAATTCGGAACCCATATTTAAATCTTAGTCTCTCACCTTCTGATGTCTCTTTGAATTTATCGCTACTTTTTTTTTTCCTCCATTTCCAGGGCTTGAAGATCTTGCCAAAGCCTGAGAACTTGCTCTTTCTTTTGGTGGGAGGTGTTGTGTCTCCCACTTCCACACTGTCCATGAGCATGCCTGGGTCTCCAGTAGGCTGGTCTGCTTCCTCTGTTACATAGAGAGAAGAAAGGGAAGGGAACAGCTCATTTATTTCAGCATAATCTCTAAAACTTCCCCTCTCTTCCTGTGGTAGTTAGACAGGAGCAGAGCAATGATAAACAATCATGCAGACAGTCAGACTCCTGATATCACATGGACTCCAAACATCAATATTCGTAACAGATACATTACTAAAAGGAACCAAACCAAGCTAACATCATTTTAGGGTAACATTCAGTGAAATGATCAGATTCAGGTCAAAAATCTTTCAAACACACACACATACACAATCTGGATGTCTTCTGAATGTGTATGAGTGCTTTGATCACTAAAGCAAGGAATTCCACTATTAGTGAGTGACTCATAAACATTATCCTCTTCCTGCCCTTTTCAGGATTTAGATAGTTCAGGGAGGGGTAACTCCTCAAGTGCTGATATCTTACTTGTGTCTATTTATCAGATTTACTGCCTTTGCAAAAAGGACTCAGGTAGTTTTGTTGTATTGTAAGGTGACTGAGGTGGGGGTAGGGACACAGTAGAAAGTAGGTATTTTAAAATGGAGGGAAATATTTGGGAGAGCAGAAGTGAGATTCTAGTCTGACTATTGTGCAATCCTGATTGACATGAAACATTAACTTGACATGAAACATTAACACAATACATGTATGTACAGGACTGAAATGAAAGGCCACAAGACCCTACTAATGACAACACATGCAGAGTTTAGTTAGTTAGCTAATGTTAATGGCAGAGAAAGGAGCAGCCAAGGAGACAGAAATTAAAAAAAAAAAAAGCAGGAAGGCAACAACAAAAAGCAGGAAGGCAACACAATACAGCTTTGCACTCCACCTACTGTCCCAGGGTTTTCTGGAGAAGTCTAGAGGGGAAGAAAAAAAGAGTTATGTGGAATAACTTCTGTAATTAAAGTGGAAATGCTATTTTAAAGAAATTCATCAAGGAATACATATTTTATTATATTAAAAGCAAATAAAGCCTTTTGAAGGAAAGGGGTATAATACACTAAAAAATTATCTCCTTTTAATACTGTAGAGTTTTGGTTTTTGTTTCAGATAGTGTCTCACTATATAGCCTAGGCTGGCCTTGAACTTATGATCTCTTTGTTTTAGCCTCTTGAGTGCTGATATTATAGGTGTTCGCCACCTATATCTGTTTATTATATATATATATTATTATATATATATATTCCCCCCCTCCCAGACTGGGGTTTGAACTTAGGGCCTCATGCTTGCTAGGAGCAAATGCTCTACCACATAAGCCATGCTTCTAGCCCTGCAGATTGTGTTTCATAAGAGAAAATATACACTCCAGTCCCATCAAAAAACAAAGAGAGCCAGGTGCTGGTGACTCACGCCCATAATCCTAGCTCAGGAGACAAGAGATCAGGAGAATAGAAGTTCGGAGCGATCCGGGCAAATAGTTCCGCAAGACCCTATCTCAAAAAACCCTTCACAAAAATAGGGCTGGTGGAGTGGCTCAAGGTAAAGCCCCCAAGTTTAAGCCCAAGCCCCAGGATGTCAAAAAAAAAAAGAGAGAGAGAGAAAGAGAGAAAGAGAGAGAGAGAGAGAGAGAGAGAGAGAGAGAGAAAGTATACAATCTGTAAGTACTAATGTTTTAATACTTTTTTTTTTGTAGAAAAAGAAAGATACAACAAAATGAGAACAAAAATCATGAAAATTCTTTCAAATATATTCCTGCTACCAGCTTATAAGCAGAAAACAAATTTGGCTTTTATTAAAAAGTCCAGCAGGACTGAGGAGGCTGAGGTAGGAACTAGTCTAGGTTACATAGCAACTCTACTTTTTTTTTTTTTTTTTGGTGGTACTGGGGCCTGAACTCAGGGCCTACACCTTGAGCTACTCCACCAGCTCTGTTTTGTGAAGGGTTTTTGAGACAGGGTTTCTCGAAACTATTTGCCTGGGTTGGCTTCAAACCACGATCCTCCTGTTCTCTGCCCCCTAAGTAGCTAGGATTACAGGCGTGAGCCACCACTGCCCAGCCATACAGCAACTTTTGAAAATAAAAGTTCAGTGTGTTACGTCTATTAGCCCCTCCTCTTTACGTAAAGTAAATCACTGAATACTTAACCAACACATTTTTTGTTTCTCTATGAAAGTATATTTAATTTTCATGTTTACAAAACTATTAGAGGACACACCTCTCTCCTCATGCAGCCCTGTCCCAGTTATTTTTCCAACTCACTCATTTATATTTTTATATTCTTCCTCCCTTCTTCCCCTTCCCTCCCTACTCAATGGCAAACAAAGCATGTTATTTCATTGACTCTCAAATCTGTCCAAATACTTGGAATCAGCCCAATTCTTTTTTTTTTTTTGGCAGTACTGGGGTTTGAACTCAGAACCTCATCCTTGGTAGGCAGGCACTCTATCCCTAGAGCCCTTCTGCCAACCCTCCACCCACCCCCCCCAGTTGCCTTTTCACATTTAGAATCTCCAGGAGGTGGGACCTAGGAATATGCTTAAAATTCTCTCCAGGTGATTCTTATGTCAGCCAGTTTGTTAACCCAATCCAAGATTATAACCTGGAAACCTCATGAATGTTCAAGGAGATAGAGGCAGACATTTCCTGGTATTGACACGTTAAAGAGAATAGATTTGGAGTACCTAGCAACACTTTCTAGTCACACAAGAAAGTGTTCTTGTGGGGAAGAAGTTATAGACTTAGACCAATTTTAAGGAGATCTGAACACACCAGGTGGAAACATGTTAGCTACAGAATGAAGAGTTTTATAGTATGTATAAATCCTCGGCTGGAGAGGTGGCTCTGTGAGTGGAGCATCTGCCTAGCAAGCATGAAGCCCTATGCTGCCCCCCTCAAAAAAGTAAGTATAAAACTTTGAATAAGTGGCTAGCTAAATCTCATTAAGCCGTAAATCTCTGCAGAATTTTTAGATACATTACAATTGATTCAGTGATTGAAGCTTCTATTAATTTGTGTCAGACAGGAAGAAAACAACTGCATCACTTAAAAAACTAGAAAGAAACCTGAAGATGAACATATACAACAAATAGTATACTCAGGTAAATGTTCATTTTTTTCAAAATAGTATCATTATACCTCAAATTTGCCATATACTAATAAATAATGGCTGAAAAAGGAGAGCTTGAAACTCTTTGTAAGTAAATTTTCACACAAACTTTTGTTTTCAGCATCTCTGATTTTATGACCAATTTCAATTTGACTGAAGAAATAAAGGCTCAGAGTCATAGTTGGATATACCATTGTTTCTGTTTAAACTATTTATGGAATTTTAAAAGGTCTATGGCCTCATTCTGCTTTCTACTAGCAAGAGAAAAAAAAAAAAAAAGAAAAAGATAGTTTTCCCTCATTTGCCAGAAAATGGAGTGAAGAATGTTCCTATAGTTTTATGATTGTGTGTTCCAAAGAAAATGCCTTTTTCTTTGAATCATGCAGCTGTAGGCCACCAATAAAGCATGTCACAGAATTGGAAGTCTTGGTGTTTTTTGGAGGGGCAGAAGTTGGGAGAGGACGGTAGCTACCTAAATTACAGTTTGAGTTTCCTTTTTGTATAGTACCCTGAAAACCAGGCCCAGAATTTAAACTTCTTACATACTCACTCAGGTTTGCTGTAGCACCTCACATTTCACCATTTCAGAGCTTTCTTTATTTTTCTTCTCTTTTTTTTTTGAAAAAGAAAACATTTATTAAAATCTTCAGGTTTTTTGAAACAGTTAACTCTTTTTTAGAAACATGAATGAGAAATCTTGTTTGGAGAAAATAAACATTAAAATGTGAAAAACAGGCTGGCAGAGTGGCTCAAGTGGTAAGTAGAGCATTTGCCTAGCAAGTGCAAGGCACTGAGTTCAAACTCCAGTACCACCAAAGGGAAAAAAAAAAGTTCATTATTAAAAAAAGTGAAAAACAGGGGCACACAGAGTAGTTCAAATGGTAGAGCACCTGTTTAGCAAGCACAAGGCCCTGAATTCAATTCCCAGCAACACCAAAAAAAAAACCCCAAAAACCCCCCAAAAAAAAAGAAGAATATAAAATTCCATAAACAATGCCATTTCTTGCCTGGCTGGTTCACGCCTATAATCCTAGCTACTCAGGAGGCAGAGATCAAGAGGATCACAGTTCAAAGCCAGCCCGGGGAAATATTGCAGCAAGACCCTATCTCAAAAAAACCCTTCACAAAAACAGGGCTGGTGGAGTGGCTCAAGGTGAAGGCCCTGAGTTCAAGTTCCAGACTGGCAAAGAAAACAACAACAAAAACCACTTAACACTTTTCATCTTCAAATAAGACATCCATTAACTATTTTTAAGTTATATCTACATAACTTGACTATAAAAAAAATACAGGGTCAAACAATATGCCCTAGGTCAAAGACTACGTTCATTTTAGATTCAAAATTACAACTAATTCTTAATTACTGATGTTGAAATGGCCAAGTATAGCACAGCAACTGAAATTCATAGAAAATTTAGTCTTTGACATCTTTCCCTACCTTCTTCCTTCACTAGATTTGGTGATAGGTGACAAAATTATACAGTATTCATAAATTCTACATCAATCTTTCATACCTTATCAGGTTTTTTAATTATTATTTTTACTTTTTAAAAATGGGTTACGAGAATTTGAACTCAAGACCCTGTGCTTTGCTTGACAGGCACTCTACCACTTCAGTCATACTGAAAAGCAGGCAGCCCTACCACTTGACCCACACGTCTGGTCAATTTTGCTCTGGTTATTTTGGAGATGGGATCCTGTAAACTATTTGCCTGGGCTAGCCTCGAACTTCAGTCTTTCCCATCTCAGCCTCCCAAATAGCTAGGATTATAAACGTAAGCTACCAGTGCCCAGCTTTTATTTATTTATTTATTTTTCTTTTTTGGGTGGTACTGGGGTGTGAACTCAGAGCCTTACAGTTGTTAGGGAGGCGCTCTACCACTTGAGCTACTCCTTGCCCTTTTTTGTTTGTTTGTTTGCTGTACTGGTGTTTGAACCCAAG